CCATGTTTGGGCTGGGAGCCGTGTTAAGCCAAGTGGGGAACAACAGCATGGAACACCCGGTGGCCTACCTCAGCCGTAAACTTTTGCCCAGAAAGGTCAGCTATGCCACCGTGGAGAAAGAGTGCCTAGCCCTAGTGTGGGCACTCAAGAAACTGCAACCTTATCTGTACGGCCGGCCATTTACTCTCATGACTGATCATAACCCCCTTGTGTGGCTAAACAGGGTAGCTGGTGACAACCCCAGGCTATTATGGTGGAGCCTAGCCCTTCAGCCCTACAACTTTACAATGCAATACTGTCCGGGCAAACAAAACGGTAAAGCTGTGTGTATCCATTAAAAGTTAGTTCATCTTGTACCCTTCTTCTTGACTTCGGCTGATGTTTGGGGATTCGTGTGTTTCACTAAGGGAATCATCTTGTGAAGCTATTGGGATTACTATATGGTTCGTCTATTCTATCTACCGAACGGAGGGCTATAATCACTAAGGCTCTGGCGGTTCGGGAGGAAACTACCGAAGGAGGCTTAAATATACTTGGTTTCCTTACATCCACCATATATGTCCAGGGTACCACTAGTTCGTTTGCTCGTCCAACAGGTGTCAGGTGAATTAAGAAAGAATCGGTTCATTTTTGTCAGTGAGTAATGCCACTGTGCAATCCTTTTGTAGTTATCCTCATGGGTGGTATTGCTTATGGACATTCTAAAGATAATTGAGAATATGCGTAACCAATCTTTGCGTTGTAGTGAAATGTTTAGCTCCTCCTCCCGGTGTTTAGTGAACTCAGGCAGGGGGTCATCTGGGTGGTTGGGTATTATTTTGGAGAAGGGCAAGTGTTTGGTCTTTAGGTTTTGTTGTGTTTTCAAATTGAGTTGGTTCTTTTTCGCCCTTTAATAATAGCGGGTTGGAGTGTATAAAGTGAGTGAATTGTGTATGTCGGTACCTAAGCTTGTTGGTCTTGTGGCAGTAGGTCGTTAAAGAGTGTTACGCCCTGTCGGTCAGCATATTCCCCAGTTGGAGGTAATTTGCAGTCGTTGTGAATTTCTGAAAGGTTATAATGTGCCATCTTAACGCTGATTTATGTGCCTCCCATGTTATTGTAGGTGATGTGGATGGCGAGGAAATTTGAGTGGGGGATGGGCTGAGGGTCTGTCCAGGTCTCTGGGTGTCCACAAGTGGTCTTGGAGGTTGTGCTCGTGCTTAGTGAGGAGTCCATTGGATACTCCGTGAGTTGGTGGCTATGAGTGTTCCTGGCTCACTGGTCTTTCTCATGGCCTTCAGATTTTCAGCTAGGGAGAACTTGTCCGTAGACGGGTTCTAATTACAGGGGAAGGTGTTTGTGTGTCGCTCAAATGTGGTATCGTTGTGGCAAAGCTCCTCCGCCAAGTCCACAATTATAGGGATAGCTGTTAATGTGGATCAGGGAAGGGCATCTACGGACTTCGAGCGGCAGGCGTCACTGTTTAGTGACGAGTAGAGGGGCCTGCAGGTGTCCTGGGTCCCGTGGCCGGTTCCCTGGTGTCATTTTGGCACAATTTTGATGGCATCTTCTAGCAGGATCTCTGTGGCATTCGTAATTGCCTTTGAGTCTGCTGTGGTCCATAGCAGTCAGCCAGGTGGACCTCTGGAAGGTTTAGGGCCTGTGTTAAGAGTGCTATGTCTGCAGCTGATGACAGGGTGGCCATGGTTCCGTTATGTGAGGCAGTGAGGGCCAGAGGGAAGACCTAGCAATGCCTGATGTTCCTGGCTCACAAAATGTTGGTGAGGGGCCGCGTTACTCTCCTGGCCTACAATGTCATCCACGAGAGATTGGGGTAAATCTGTACTTGAGTGCCATGGAACAGTAAAGGTTGCAACGTTTGTCTCAGCATTCAGAGGATGTCATCCTTGATGCTGTAATAATGTAACTGGCACACCACATCTCTCGGTGCTTCTGCCGATGGATTTCTTGGACGGAGCGCCCTATGTGCCCTGTCGAGCATTATGGATTCACTTGTATCTCTGTTAAAATAAGGTTAAAAAGTTCTTGTAGCATGCTCTGCAGATCTTCCTGGTCTGATTTCAGGAAGGCCTTTTACCCTACGGTTGTTGCGCCTCCCGCGATTATCAAGATTGTCTAAGGCTCTGTACATCGCCGCCATCTGTACATTTTGAGCTTCGATGGATGTTTGTAGGTGATGTATTTTGGTCTGTGTGAGGTCTCGGTCTTCTTCCAGGGTAACAACTCTGTCTCCCACGTGTTTTATGTCGGAGAAGATGGCATAGATTTTGGTTTGAAACGACACTTCTAATTTATGAAGCATGGATGCTAGGTCTTGTTTGGAGGGGAGAGTCTTAAGAGTCTCCCGGAGGTCATGATCAAGAGTTATTGTAGATCTCTGAGTTTGCCGGGCTGGAATGTGCAGATATGTCCGAAGGTGAGTCCGGCGCCATGTTGGAGACTGGTGCTGCGGCCTGCTGCTCTGCATTGTCTCTGAAGTACTTTGTCAGGGGGCTTTATTTCACTTCCATTTGCTTGCTGGAGGAGTGGTGGGCTGAGGATGAGTGTTTGGGGTGCCTATTATTTTGGTTGTGCCTGATGGTAGCTGATTGCCCTCTCTCTTTTTGCAGAGCTCAGCTAGCAAGCGTCCATGCAGGTCCATGTTTAGCCCCGCCCCCCTCGACTCCAACATCTTTGGTACTGTTTGTTGAAGTTCAACAAACAGTACCATGAGCACTACTTTGCATTCATGGAAGAAACAATCAGAAAAGGTGATGCAGAACCAGTCCCTTCATTGTCGGAAGGAGAAGCAGTGTGGAACATTCCACATCATGGGGTTTATCACCCTAAGAAGCCAGACAAGTTAAGAGTCGTCTTTGATTGTTCAGCAAAGTTCCAAAGGATCTCTCTAGACTACACTTTGCTGACAGTTCCTGACCTGATAAATTCTCTAGTGGGAGTTCTTTGTCGCTTCAGGAAGCAAGCAGTTGCTGTGATATGCAACATTGAAAAGATGTTCCATCAGTTCTATGTACCATCCGAAATGCGCAACTATTTAAGGTTCCTTAGGTGGGAGAGTGATTAGTTGAAAACAGAACCCAAAGAGCACAGAATGGCAGTTCACCTTTTCAGTGCCAGTTACTCTCTAGGATGTGCCAACTTCGGCCTTGAGTATCTTGCACGACAACTCAAAGCAGATTATTCCTCAGCATCAGCCTTCATTGAGAAGAACTTTGATGTCACTGATGGCCTAACTAGTGTTTCAACAGTCAGTGAAGCTACAAATGTGGTAATCAAAGCGCAAGAACTATGCAAAAATGCTGGCTTACAACTGCATTAGTTCAAATCTAACAATATAGATGTCCTGTCTTGTGTAGCTCCATCAAAAAGAGCAACAACTAGTGAACCTCTCCAATTTAACCCAGACTCAACACCAGAAGGACAAGTACTTGGCATTCAGTGGGCAATTGAAAGCGACACCTTCAGCTTCAGCGTTGACATAAATCATCAACCCTCAACTCATCGTGCTGTCCTGTCAGTTGTAGCCTCTCTTTATGATCCTCAAGGTTTCATAGCTCCCTTCATACTGAGTGGCAAGTGCATTCTCCAAGAGCTTTGCCGCAGGGGCATCAGTTGGGATGAAGCACTTCCTGAGAGCTAAGGCCCATGGTGGGAGGCCTGGAAGAGGAGTCAGTGGAAAAGGGAATACCTCATGAGCGTTTCCACAAGACAGAATTGGCAAACACCATAGTTATAATCAAAGAAGATATGCTTCCAGTGGCATCCAGTGGCAGATGGGACATGTGATGGAAAATACAATAGAAAAAGATGGTCTAGTTCGTCGAGTCAAAGTTGTTAGTAGGTGACAGACGATCGCAAGATAAGAAGGACTCTGCATCAAAACCTTCAAAAGTTAAACGTCCTATTTAAAAGTTAGTAGTTCTTATAGAGAGTAAATAATTCACCAGTTTTGGTGATACACTAACACACCACCACCACCACACAATACAGTAGCCAGTTACACAGGTACCTATAAGCTAAATTGTGTACTACTTACGTTTATAGCGGCCATTGTTATGTTCTGTAAAATATGCATGACTCTTTAAATTTACATTCGTCATAACATAATTTGGTGGGAGTATAAGTGTCCACTTATAACTTTAAATCATTGTTCAGCAGTGACTACCACAGGCAGAACCTTTCTGCCTTCCTCTTGTTTCCCCAGGGAACGTTTCATCATCAGACCCCTCCTTCTTCTAGTTTTGGAAGCAAAAGCTCTCTGTGACTCAGCATTCAGATGCAAAGGCAGCTAGCAGCACCTCGTGGGAAGGCGATGGTTATCAAGGTTTTTAAAGTTGCACCCCTTGGCAAGCGGAGCAAGGTACGATGTAACGTATATGTTTTTAGACATTAATTATGTCCATGCTGTTAGTTAAAAGATATGTTGTATATTAGTCAATGTTTGTATATTAAGTACTATTGTCCAAATCTCTGTATATAGTTTGTATTCCTCAGATGGTTAATGTAATTTCGACATGTGCAGATAACTGAACTCCACATTTGTAATCCTTTTTGTAACTCCCCTTTTTGGTGAACTTTGTAAACAAATGTATTTGTATGTCCTATTACAGTTTTCACTGTGCTTATGGTGCATATTTATTTCATATTTATATATATTTGGGAGTCTGGGCCAACTCCTTGGTTTTGTCACTCCCTGTCACAGGTACCTCATTCAAGTGCCCTATTTAACCTTGTACTGCAGAGAGCCACAGATTAAAAGTGGGTTAATCTCATAAGAGCAGACATTAGGATTTCTAAGATCTTTGATTTCAGCTCATGAAAAATGGTGGCAAAAACAAAAGTGTTGCGTTTATAATTTTGTTGAGTATATATAAAAAAAAAAAAATGTAAATAAATATATATATATATATATATATATATATATATATATATATACCTAACCATGATGGGATAACTTTCAGCCTCTGATCCATAAACTCTAAACAACATACATGAAAGGTTCAGCCCTGCAGTGGTGAGTAGGCCCCTGCGGGCCACGCGGAGTGGGCCTCACCCACTGCCGTCTGGTGGGGGGGGGTTTCTTCCCCTCATTCTGAGCTTTCTGGCCCTCATGGACCCCCCCCTCCCTTCCCCCTCACATGTTCTCCCTCCCCTGAGGGGTCCGCGGGGCAGGTGTCCCCCCCGGTCATCTTTGGGGGTGGGGGTGTCCCCCACGGTCCTTGGGCCTCTGGGCCCCATTCAGCCTGTCTACCCTCCCGTTACTGCCCCCCCTTTTCTCTCAGGCCCGGGGGTCCCCCCCGGCAGGTCCTCACTCCTGGTGGCCTATTCTGGTCCTTTTTCTTCCCCCCTGCTCCCTCTCTCTATTTCCCCTCTCCTGCCCCCCCTTTCCCTCTTTCCTACTCTGCCTTCCTCCCCCCTATGTCCTTCTCTCCCCTGGCCACTGGGTCCCACCTGCCCCTGGGGTCCCCTCCTTACCCCCCCCCTACTTACCTGTCTTGGCAGCCTCCTGTGCAGGGGCGTGGGCTCACAATCTCTTCACTGCTTCCTCAGGCTCTTGGTGCTGTTGCCGGATCCATCCACCAGATGGCGCCTAGAGCTGTGGTGAATATGAACACTGCTGTTCAAACCATGGAATCCTCTTTACAGGTTTCTGCTGCTGCTCTGGTGTCGCCAGCGGGTCCTGGGGCACCGCCAGGTGAGTCACATGTTCCTGCGCATGTTCCTGCGCTTGCTGGGGCATCCACGCTGGGTGGGTTCATGTCGGGTCTGCGGGAGCTGTTTTCCCAGTGGGAGCGATTGGCGCTAGTGCAGGGATCTCATGGGTTGGATGGTCAGCTGCATTCAGTCTGGTCCCCTCCGTTGTCCCAGGCGGGTTCGGCTACGGGAGGGGGCGCGAGTTCGGTTCCTGGCGCGGTGATTAGCGTTCATGCGACTCCGCCTCCCGTGCCTGCCGCGGCCATGGGGGGGGTGACGATGGGGGGGTGCTTGATAGTACAGCAGGCGTCGCCGACGTGGCTAGAGGGGCAGCATATATGTGCTAGTCGGGTCCCTTGGGCTTACATCTAAAGCCCGAGGTCAGGGACAAGATCTGGAAAGGAGAATTCGTGGAGATATTTTCCCTGTTGCCCTTGGAGGATGCCCCTCCTCCGGGGGACAAGAAGGGGAAAGAGTCAGACAAGGATAAGGATAAGTTCCGTTACAGGAAGATTCAGAAAACTTTCGGGATCTTGGTGCTAGCGTTTTCCATTTTGGCGAGCGTGATTGGGGAAAAGGCTCCCCAGAACTGCTCGGCGCTTTTTTGCTATCAGGACACCATTTGGAACTGGTGTCGGACCTGTGGCTGCCTGGGTTGGTGGCGCTATGATGAACAATTTAGTCAGCAGCTCGATGTCTGCCCCTTTATCTCTTGGGATCAGATAGACATTGGCCCGTGGCTGTCCATCATGACTCGCCTGGCGGCACACCAAGGGGAGGACGTCGTCCTTTCTTGGGGGTGAGGGGGCCTCATCGGCCTCACACAGGCGGCCGGGCTGTTGTTGGAAGTTCAATGACAGCCAATGCAAGTGGGGCGCGACATGTCATTTTAAACACGAACGCTCCCATTGCAGGTGTGCCCACTCGGCATCCCACTGCTTTAAGCTGGGTAAGTCTGGGGACAAAGGCGACGTGGGGACTAAGGGCGAAGACGCCAGTGGCCGTGGACGTGATGCGCCCCTGGCTCGGCCGTTATAGGAACCGCCGGGCCGCGGGCTTGCTGCTGGAGGGGTTTACCCAGGGGTTTTGGATTCCCTTCTCGTAGCGCCCCTCCTCCGGGGCAGTCTGGAACTTGAAGTTGGTGTTTGATTTTCCTGATGTGGTCCTCAAAAAGCTCCGGAAGGAGGTTTCACTAGGGCGGGTGGCGGGGCCGTTCGAGGCCCCTCCATTGTCCAACTTGCTGGTGTCTCCCTTCGGGGTGGTGCCCAAGAAGGAGGCGGGGAAATTTTGCCTGATTCACCATTTATCGTACCCTCACAGATTTATTTAACCAATCATTGTTAACAGGAGTAGTCCCAGAAGATTGGAAGTTAGCGAATGTTGTGCCCATTTACAAGAAAGGTAATAGGGAGGAGTCGCGCAACTATAGGCCAGTAAGCCTTACTTCAGTAGTGGGGAAAGTGTTAAAGGATAGGATTGTTGGACATCTAAAAATACATGATTTCAAGATCAGAGACAACATGGGTTTACTTCAGGGAGATCATGCCAAACTAATCTTATTGATTTTTTTGACTGGATAACTAAAATTATAGATCAGGATGGTGCAGTAGACATTGCTTACCTAGATTTCAGTAAGGCATTTGACACTGTTTAACATAGAAGGCTTATCAATAAACTGCAATCTTTACGTTTGGATGCCAATATTGTTGAATGGGTAAGGCAGTGGCTGAGTGACAGGCAACAGAGGGTTGTAGTTAATGGAATATATTTAAAGCTTGGACTTGTCACCAGTGAGATACCTCAGGGATCTGTACTTGGACCCATTTTTATTAGTGATATTGCAGACGGTCTTGATGGTAAGGTATGTCTTTTTGCTGATGATACTAAGATATGTAACAGGGTTGATGTTCCAGGAGGGATAAGCCAAATGTACAGAATACTGGTGAGACCTCACTTGGAGTATTGTACACAGTACTGGAGACCGTATCTTCAGAAGGATATTGATACCTTAGAGAGGGTTCAGAGAAGGGCTACTAAACTGGTTCATGGATTGCGGGATAAAACTTACCAGGAAAGGTTAAAGGATTTTAATATGTATAGCTCGGAGGAAAGACGAGACAGGGGGGATATGATTGAAACATTCAAATACATAAAGGGAATCAACACAGTAAAGGAGGAGACTATATTTATAAGAAGAAAAACTACCACAACAAAAGGACATAGTCTTAAATTAGAGGGACAAAGGTTTAAAAATAATATCAGGAAGTATTACTTTACTGAGAGGGTAGTGGATACATGGAATAGCCTTCCAGCTGAAGAGGTAGAGGTTAACACAGTGAAGGAGTTTAAGCATGCGTGGGATAGGCATAAGGCTAGCCTAACTATAAGATCTTTAGTTGTAACGTTAATAGTTTTTTTCAACAAATATAGCTAATTTCTAAAGGCTGTTTCCAGTTTCTTGCCAAGAGAATCTTCATAGCCAAAAAACTACGTGTGGTCAAATAATATTGAGATGCTGTTAGATCCGGCCAGCCCAAATGTGATAAAGCTCTCATCAGAGTTTTATTTATTTTGATCTTATTACAATCGTATACATTTTTATATATTTGATCCTATATTTTTTTAACTTTTGGGCAACTCCACTATATATGTAGACTTTCCACTGCATTCAAACATCTCCAACACAAGTTTGGGACATTGGGATCAATTTTATTTAATCTTGTTGGCACTAGGTACCACCTATTACATACTTTGTAAAACGTTTCAATCAGTATTGTATTATAGACATTTTTCTTTGTTCTGACTAATATTTCACCCCATACACAAATATCAATATTAATATTACACTCAATTTCCGATTATTTTTTTTAAAACTGTTTCGGCGTAGTAGTTTGCACCATTGATTTATTCAGCCTATAACACTTAGATAGAAGTTTTGTCATTTTCTTATTTCAAAAACCTGTTTCATATATATGGTTTTCCCCTCATCAAAATGTATTGAGACAAGTGAATTAACTCTTAAATAATTATATATTTCAGATTCTGGTATATTGTATTCTAAGACCAATGATGCAAATGTTTTCATTCTTCCCTCCTTCATTATGTTATTTACTACATTATTTTTTTTTCTCTCCACAGATCTAGTTTGATCATCTGTAAGAGATTCCAATATTTCCAGCTCCATAAATGCATAAATCTTTTCAGTATTTTTCATCTTTTTTTTAGTTTAAACCATACTGCAAAAATATCCTTTACTATTCCAGATAAGTTTATTTAGGTCATTCCTATTCAGTGGCTGGGTTTCTAATATAAACCATGTTACCGCGAGTAGGGGCCTGTCTAGTAAACAGTGAGCAAAAAAAAAAAAAAGCAGCAGGTGGGGGCCCTAAATAAGAATAAGGGGGGGGACCTAATGTCCTCCCCCTGACCCCCACCTCTGAGCGACGGGTAAGTGCCCTAAATACCAATAGGGGGGAACTATTGTCCTCCCCTCAGTCCCCCACCGCGGAGCGGCGGGTGGGGGCCCTAAATTAGAATACTGGGAGGACCTATTGTCCTCCCACCGGTCCCCACTCCTGAGTGGCAGGTGGGGACCCTAAATTAGAATACTGGGAGGACCTATTGTCCTCCCCCCAGCCCCCACCCCTGAGCGGTGGGTGGGGGCCCTAATTACCAATATGGGGAAGGCTATTGTCCTGCCCTCAGCCCCCACCCCTGAGCGGCGCATGGTGGCCTTAAATACCAATATGGGCGGGGGACCTGTGAATAAGGGAAGCAAATAAATTCAGAGTTTTGTTGAGGAAGGCTGTGTGAGTCTTAACCAGAAAGGTGTGGCTATGGCTGAATAAACATAGTGATTTAACTCCTAAATAGCAAAGAATTGAGCACTGAGGCTACACAGCATGATCTATGCACATAATAAAACATAATAAATTAGCTCAGAAACAATGTGTGCTGTAATTATCAAAAACGTTTTTTAACCCGATCACTACCAGGCACTTTTTTATAAAAAAAAATATATATCAGCATAACATTTATTTGAAGCGAGGGATGCATAGCAAACATGTAAACATATTACCAATACAATAAACATCAAAATAATCTGAATTGGAGTATACAAAAACTCTATACACAATAATAAGCAGGGCTGCGTCACATACAAAAGAGCGACTAAACAACCAAATAAAATATAAACCAACAAGGGTATGTGAGCGCTCCAAATAAAATATGACCACTAGAAAAATTACACTCCAAAGCAGCAGCTGTAGAATTAAATAAAAATGTACATATACACAAAATATTTATTCATATATAAACAATAAAATTAATCAAATCATAAGAACCATGAAAAAATCCTTATAAATCTAAATATAAAAATGGTCATAAGGATGTGTCCAGACCAAAGTTCATAGTGTTCAAGATACATAGTGTGGGGCCCCCAACACTAATATGGATTATGTATCAAAGAGAAAATAAAAATGAAAAAAGATTGTGCACATCAAACAATAAAACATCAAAAAATGTCAAAAAATGAATATCAGACCTCAAACACATATATAATTCATGGGGGAGGGAGCTCATAAACCCACCAAACCACTAGGTAAAGGTGAGGGGTGCCACTATGAATAGTCTCCTAGTGTTAAAAACCTAGGGATTAAACCAGAGAAACTTACCCTATTCACCCTACCTTCGTGTAAGGTAAAGGGAGCACGCCAACTCCCTACCACGAAACAAGATGTGTGGGACTGAATTCAACAGCTGCCGAAAATCCCTCCCAAACCGTAAATGAAGTCGGGTAGAAAATCAAAGGAGACGGAAAACAGATCGTCTACGCGTTTCGTCCCCTATGAGGGACTTTATCAAGACAAAGATCTGTTGTCCACAGACTGGGTATATATACCCTATTCCTAAAGGAGTGGTCATTCAATTAAAAAATAATAAAAATTAAGAGTCAATTTGTAGAAGGCGGATCGCCTAAGGTGTGCATTTATTTATAATTTTTATAGAATAAACATCCAAATAATATTATTAAATATAAATCATCAGCCAATAGGCATTATCATTCTCTCTATTTAACAATTATTTAGGGAGATAAAACGTATGAAATCAAACCTGTATGTAACAGTGTAACTTTTAGAGACTGTCTCTCATCTTTTTCATATTATAGAAATACTCATAGGCTGTAGTTCTTTATATTTCTATATGTATGTAGACCTATGCACACATATGGGTGCATTCTTCCCCATCAGCTACAACACAGAGGACTCTTATATACAAGTAAAGAACTTAACAGCTTAAGTTTATTTAATACAAGCCTCCCAAAGACTCTAAAAAATTATAAAAAATATATAAAAATAATATAAATCCTAATCAATAAATATAAAGATGCATAAAAGAACACATAATTCTGATAAATACCAATATGTTACATATAAAAAGCTTTTTAGGGAAGTCACATAACATACAATCAAAGCTTATGTTCAATGAACACAAATTGAAACAATAAATAAATAAATGATCTAAATAAATAGGTTATACTTAAACAGGGGTGGAGGGGGGGAAAAAGGGGATAGGGACACACAGTAATGAATGCATCCCTCATATCCCTTGTGATCCATTCCCCACTGTTAAAGCAGAATCATAAAAAATTTAATCAAAAAGAAAAAACAAAATTAAGTAATGTGCTCCAATTCCTCATTTAACCCATACGGATTAAGAGTATTCAGTCGGAAAATCCACCTGGTCTCAGCTACAATAAGAGCTGTTTTTCTATTAACAATCTTCTCTGGGATATGTTCAATACCCATAACAGATATATATAAAGGATTGCTCTCATGGGCCATTTGGAAGTGTCTAGCTACCGGGGATTTTCTATCCTGTTTAATGATCGCTAGTCTGTGTTCTCTGAACCTAGTTTTCAATGACCTAGAAGTCTGGCCAACATAAAGCAATCCACACGAACACTTCAGTAAATAGACAACATATGGGGTGTTACAGGTAATCCTTGAGGTTACTTGGAAAGTCTCATTATTCAAAGAAGACGAGAAATCCAAACCTCCATGGTGTATATACTGGCATGTTAGACATCGCGTTGAACCGCATTTGAAATTCCCTACACCAAGGGCTGCCAATGTGTTATGGGATTCTGCTGAGGCAAGCTTAGATGGAGCTAACAAGTTCTTTAAATTTCTATTTTTCCTAAAGGTTATTCTTGGTGACCCAGCTAAACTAAATTTCAACCAAGGATCCAATAATAAAATAGACCAATGTTGGCGTAGAATGGAGATAATCTGGTCATATGCCCTATTAAAGGTAGTGGTAAATATGGGACCCTTATTATGAGAAACATCCCTAGTACTGATGTTAAATTTATTCCGGGTGTTGGATCTTCTTTTAGGAGTTGAATTTTCCAAAAGGGATAATACTTCCATATGTTTAACTGATGGCACGGGAGATCTAGCTGGAGACTCCTGATCAATATAAGGCTCTATGAGTGAATTTCTCGAAATGTTTCTAGCCTTATGATATGCCTGATAAATGGTGTTTGGATCATAATCTTTATCCAGGAAACGATGACATAATTCCAAAGATTCTTCTTCAAAGTCTTCCAAGAGAGAACAATTTCGGCGTAATCTAATAAACTGACCAAATGGGATATTATTAATCCACGTTGGATGATGACCACTCGTTGAATGTAAAAAACCATTAACATCGACCGGTTTCTTAAAAGTTTTAGTGAGGACATGTCCAGGTTTCCCGCATAGGATCAAATCAAGGAACTCAATGGTTGTCTTATTTTTATTACTAGTAAAAGATAATCCCCATTCGTTGTTATTGAGATAATGGACAAAGTTATCAGTATCATCAAGATCACCCTTCCAAATAATCAAGATGTCGTCGATAAATCTTTTATAAAATACAAGATGTTCTCTCCATATAGGATGATTAAATATATGGATGGATTCCCACAGGCCCATAAAGATATTTGCATATGCTGGGGCAAAACTAGCCCCCATTGCGGTACCTTTTATTTGTAGGTAGAACTGCCCATTAAAACAAAAATAATTATGGGTTAAAATAAAGGATATACTTTCCAAAATTGCTTCCACTTGACACCGAGGGAGAAGGGGATCTTCCAAAAGGAAATGTTGAATAGCTTTCAAGCCCAACTTGTGGTCGATATTTGAATATAGGGCTGCCACATCCACGGTCAGCCAACAATAATTCTCCTGCCAGGAAATCTCCTGCATCAATGATAATACATGTCCCGTGTCTTTAATATACGAAGGAAGGTTGATCATAATTTTCTGAAGATGAATATCTACCCATTTTGATAAGGGTGCTGTAAGAGAACCAATAGATGAAATAATAGGTCTACCAGGTGGATTAGTGAGGGACTTATGGATCTTCGGAAGGAAGTAAAAGATGGGTATATTGTCTCCACCGGAGAGTAGAAAACCTTTTTCTGATTTATCAATAACCCCTATATCAAACATCTTATTCACCCAGGTTTTGAGATCCCTGGTGAATTGAGTAGTGGGATTAAAAGCGAGGGTTTTATAATAATTTGTATCTTCCAAAATCCGATTTTTTATGATTCTGCTTTAACAGTGGGGAATGGATCACAAGGGATATGAGGGATGCATTCGTTACTGTGTGTCCCTATCCCCTTTTTCCCCCCCTCCACCCCTGTTTAAGTATAACCTATTTATTTAGATCATTTATTTATTTATTGTTTCAATTTGTGTTCATTGAACATAAGCTTTGATTGTATGTTATGTGACTTCCCTAAAAAGCTTTTTATATGTAACATATTGGTATTTATCAGAATTATGTGTTCTTTTATGCATCTTTATATTTATTGATTAGGATTTATATTATTTTTATATATTTTTTATAATTTTTTAGAGTCTTTGGGAGGCTTGTATTAAATAAACTTAAGCTGTTAAGTTCTTTACTTGTATATAAGAGTCCTCTGTGTTGTAGCTGATGGGGAAGAATGCACCCATATGTGTGCATAGGTCTACATACATATAGAAATATAAAGAACTACAGCCTATGAGTATTTCTATAATATGAAAAAGATGAGAGATAGTCTCAAAAAGTTACACTGTTACATACAGGTTTGATTTCATACGTTTTATCTCCCTAAACAATTGTTAAATAGAGAGAATGATAATGCCTATTGGCTGATGATTTATATTTAATAATATTATTTGGATGTTTATTCTATAAAAATTATAAATAAATGCACACCTTAGGCGATCCGCCTTCTACAAATTGACTCTTAATTTTTATTATTGTTTAATTGAATGACCACTCCTTTAGGAATAGGGTATATATACCCAGTCTGTGGACAACAGATCTTTGTCTTGATAAAGTCCCTCATAGGGGACGAAACGCGTAGACGATCTGTTTTTCCGTCTCCTTTGATTTTCTACCCGACTTCATTTACGGTTCGGGAGGGATTTTCGGCAGCTGTTGAATTCAGTCCCACACATCTTGTCTCGTGGTAGGGAGTTGGCGTGCTCCCTTCACCTTACACGAAAGTAGGGTGAATAGGGTAAGTTGCTTTTGTTTAATCCCTAGGTTTTTAACACTAGGAGACTATTCATTGCGGCACCCCTCACCTTTACCTAGTAGTTTGGCGGGTTTATGAGCTCCCTCCCCCATGAACTATATATGTGTTTGAGGTCTGATATTCATTTTTTGACATTTTTTGATGTTTTATTATTTGATGTGCACAATCTCTTTTTAATTTTTTTCCTTTTGATACATAATCCATATTAGTGTTGGGGGCCCCACACTATGTATCTTTGAACTTTGGTTTGGACACATCCTTATGAACTTTTTTTATATTTAGATTTATAAGGATTTTTTCATGGTTCTTATGATTTGTTTATTTTTATATGAATAAATATTTTGTGTATATGTACATTTTTATCTTATTCTACAGCTGCTGCTTTGGAGTGTAATTTTTCTAGTGGTCATATTTTATTTGGAACGCTCACATACCCTTGTTGATGTAAACATATTATAACACAATTTTGTTTATAGATTACTTTGCAGACAAATGTAAAAATTTTAATTATATACATATTTACACAATTTTTATTTTTCTCATATAGTTCATCATTATTTATAAAAAAAAAATACATATTTGGAAAATGAAAAGCTTTACACAGTACATAGTGTCCTTTGTCTTGCAATATTTCACACACGGTCTGAAATGTTAGTAAGTAGGACAAAAATATATAAATAATAATTATCAAATACCTTGCTTACAGGTATTTGCAAGGATCATGAAGGCATTACTAGCAGTACAGCTCACTAAAAACAAAATGTAAAAAGAATGTCTGCATTATGTCCACATACTGTATAATACAGTTAAATCATATATTTCTAAAATAAAGTTATTTCAAATAACTATAGCAATCTTTATCAATGTCTGGACTGCTACTATAATTCTAACAGTGAAATGGCAGTGTCCATTTACTCACTCCCTCCTTGACTGTAGGAATGATATCACCTTCAGAATCTTCCTGTACTGTTTGAAAGCAGAGATTTCTGGCAGAAAAATTGGTTACTCTACAGACTGGTAATCGTAACTACAGTATAATTGATGGTGAGTGAGGCTTTATGAACTAGATTTCATAAGGCAAAATACATGGAAATAAGTGTTTTGACTTGATTTGTGTGTTCATCTAAGGAAATAACAATCATCACGCATTAAGTATTTTACAGCACTAACAACTGTAACATCTTTTTCTTACTGAAGCTGAATTGTGCAAACCCTTTGATTTTAGCTGTGTAAAAGTTGTTCTCTCAGTCCCTGGATGAAGATAAAGTGGTGTACCATTTTTTAAATTCGTCATTGAAACATTTAAAGTTGCTTTTTGGACACTAGAATATGACTTGATACTTTGCAGATATTTTTGTCTGTTGTTGATTTTCCTTTTGAACAATAGGATATAACACACAGATAAAAGATGGCAGGAAATCACTCCATATACAGAAGCTAATATTGCAACAGCTTGCACAGCTGAACGATACCTGCTTTTGGTTTTCATGTAGACTGGAATGAAAATAATCCATACAAACATGTATATAAGCATGCTGAATGTGATACGACTGGCCTCATTATATTTCTCTGGTAGTTTTCTACCTTTATAAGCTAATATGAAACAATTCAATGCAAGGAATCCAATATATGCCAACATGATACCAAAGTAAACATAGGATCCTTCATTACACTGCAGTCGTACAATTTGAGGTATGTCGTATTTTTCTGTGTATGTTGGTTGCTGATATATCAGCCATAATATACAAATAATAATTTGCAAGCTGGTTAGCACAGTAATAATAATTATTGGCTTATAAGCTACTTTAGGTAAATGTTTGAATCTGTTGGCAAACTCAAACGCTAAAATGATTCGTAAAGATTTGATCAATATGCAAGATACACAGAGGGTGAAGCTGATACCATAGAGAGGTTGTCTGATCTGACAGATTGTATTACTTGGTTTACCGATAAAAAAACAGATGCTTGCCAGGCTAAATAATAAAGATGTTATCATTAGATAACTATAATTTCCCCCCGCTGCCTTAACTGCTGGGGTATCTTTATACTTCCTAAACAAGAAGACTGTGATTAAAAGTAATAAAAAGCCAAATGAAGCCAAAGCCATAAGAGCGATAGCTAATGGATTTTCCCATTGAAAATACTCGATTGTCCTCTCCTCACAACCAGAGCTTTGACTATGTGACCACATTTTTGGAGGACATTTCAAACATTCATCCATATCTGTAATAGAAAAATAAGAAAAATGTTTTCTATTATGTACATACAAATCTGATTCCTGAAATATGACACATATATATTAACATTAATTTGATAGCTAGACACAAGTATAAGTTACAAAATCTGTGACATTGTGCTTAGTAAAACATGGTGGTGAGCATGAGTAGCATACAGCTGTTAAATATAAGACTTTAACATGGTATTTGTTGCCACAGACATCTAACAGCAATTGGGTTTAAAGAAACATTGGAGGCAGCATAACTACTTTACTGATTTAAGTGGTTATAGTACCTGGACTCCATGAGCACTGGGTCCTGCAGCCTAGGTAAACAGTTTAATCACCCTTTAGCAGGGACAATCATACAAATTATACCATAGCCTACCTAGTGCCATAGCTGATACTTGGCAGCCTGACGCTCAGCCTCCAATGACAAAATGGCGGAGGCGTAACTAGATCGATAAGGTTTGCAGGCAGTTATAGGCTGAAAGCATCAGCTCTCTCAACCAATCACTGCCTATATAACAGGTATAAATTGGTATAAAGAGGCAGAAACAGCTCCTCCATACCATCATTGGAGACTGGACCAGCAAAGAAGCATGATGTGTAAACTGCACGCTCTAGTGCCTATAGACTCCAAGCGCTATAAATGTTGGGACCGCAAGGAATGATTACTGTGGTCTGTACCCACTTTAGGTGCAAAGCTCATGTCCCCCCCCCCTCACTAAACCACTAGTGATCCGAGTACCCTGCTAGAACACCAGGGAAAATGTCCCCATATTGCAACCTCAGGGATCCAGGTATATCCACTGGGAAAGATAAGCAGGGTGATGGGGGGTGATAAAAACACTTTGTATACAGCAAACAGACAGCACAGACACACTACATATAGCCAGCACATCCCACAGACAAACACTTCACACAGCCAGCACACAACACAGATGCACTCTACACACAGCTAGCACACACACACACAACATGCACACACATCACATACAGCCAGCAAAGACATATTAAATATAGTAAGTACACACATTAGATAAAACCCTCACACAAACACACTAGATACAGCTAGCCCACACATTACATATAGCCAACATACACACACACACACATTACATTCAAACAGCACACACCACACAGTACACAATTATATACAGCCAGCACGCACCATATACACGACATGCATTACATGTTGCCAGCACACACTACACACACAGATATAAGCAGCACACATTACACCACTACATACATCCAGCACAAACTTCACACAAAACATACAGCCAGCATACATCAAATACAATACTGACAGGCATTACATAGAAACAATAGTAAGATACACGGAATACAAATAAAAGTATAGAAAGCATGAAAGAAAGAAAAGTGCTTAGAATACAAAAAACAGTGATCTGGTTCTAAGATAGAGGGAGTAAAAGTGTGTGTGTGTGTGTATATGTATATATATATATATATATATATAATGAAAAAAAGCCTTGCACTCCTACTTACAGTTATTTGACCCGGTGCTTGATTGCACTAAATGTATGAAAGAAAAAAATCAGCACTCCCAGGTAGCTTTCTTAGGAACTTCTTTTACTAAAAAAAAAACAGTCAACGTTTCAGTTCCATTCAGGAACTTTCATCAGGACAACTTATCCCTATCTTTTATCACCTACCAAAGATACACCAGAGACTTCATAATCCCCCTGGTAGGCCGATCATATCAGGGATAAGTTCCATAACCTCTAATTTATCAAAATATGTGGATCAATATCTGAAAAACCTAGTTCACCATCTCAAGTCATATCTTAAAGACTCAACTCAAATCCTCAACTTGTTAGCAGACATCAACTGGGAAGAAGACATGATTTTGGTGACAGCAGATGTTACCTCACTGTACACAGTGATAGAGCACCTCAAGGGATGTGAAGCGATACAGTATTCATTGGCCACTTATTCTGAACTCAAGAATGATCAGATTGATTTTTTAATACAGTGCGTAGCATTTATTTTAAGCCACAATTATTTCTGGTCGGATGATAATTTTTACTTACAACTAGAAGGAACTGCCATGGGAACACATTTAGTCCCAAGCTATGCCAATTTTTTATGGGTAAATGGGAGAACGAATTTATTTGGAACCACTGCCCACTTGGCGCGAAACTGTTTCTACGGCGGCGATACATTGATGATTGCTTTTTTTATCTGGAAGGGGAGTATGGAATCCATTGAAAGTTTTAAATTGTACCTTAATAACAATCCATACAATTTACAATTCACATTCTGTCACTCTACAAGCCAAATCAAATTTTTAGATCTTGAGATATATATTAAAAATGGGAAAATTCACACAGAAAACATTTAAGAAGAATGTAGACTGTAATAGTTTTATACCTTTTAGCAGCTACCATAAAAACACCTAGCTTGAAAATATACCATAGGGACAATTTAGAAGAATAAGAAAGAATTGTTCAGAATTGGAAACTTGTCAAATGCAAGAAATGAAGTAGATTTGCAGTAAAAGGATACCCAGAACCGCTCCTAGAACAAGCAATGAAGAAGGCCTTATCTATACCAAGAGAAGATACCCTCTATAAGAAGAGAATACAACCAGAAGAACATAAGAGAGCTCCGGCCTTCATAATGAAATATAGTAACCAATCCCAGAATATCAAAAAGGTGTCCGTTAAACACTGGGATATACTAAAGAGGACCATATGCTTAATCAAATTTTAGATGACCAACCCAACATTATTTTTTCCCAAGCTCTCACTTTAAAGCTTATGTTGGCACCAACTGACAGTTCTAGAAATCATCTTCATGACACCATAAAAACATCCATTAAAGGCTCTACAAGGTGCAAGAAATGCATAGGATGTAGGAATAATCCTAACCTAGATCATATTCAAGATAATGTCCTTTCTCTAGATAACCAGACAAAATATAGAGTAAAATCTAATATGGACTGTAACACAACAGGGGTAATTTATCTACTTACATGTCCTTGTCCAAAACAATATGTAGGAAGAATTAAAACATTTTAATGATGTTCATGGAAGAGACCCAGATGGTTTGCAGTTTTCACCTATTGAGAAAGTCACAGTACATTGGAGAGGGGGAGATCTAGACCAAGCAGATGGATCTTCACCCTAAACACTCTAGCCCCAAGAGGCTTAAACATTGATTTTGAACTTAATGCATTCTTATGATAATTTTTAATTATAACCTTTTTAATGATTATAAGTATCTGTCTATTCCTCTTTTAGATTACCAACATTACTATAGTATGAGTGTTTTTTTTCCAATATTCTCCTATTTTATTATTACTACTATGTAATATTTCTATAATAGATATTTCCAGTTTTTATTTTAATTTTAGTTATTTGTTATATTTTATCTACACGCAGTCCACTATTTCATATTATTCTATATTATTCTATTTGTATTCCCATAGATTACTTTCTCTTCTCTTTTAACATCACAGTCATTTATTGTTTATCTCTGTTTTATTTGAATTTTTATTTTATTTTGATCTAATTTACTTCATCTTATTTTAAAGCCATTTTATATCATTTTATACATATTTCTCTTTGCCACATTTTCTGACATTTAGCCACTTTACTAATTAATTAAATGAATTAATTCACTAATTTGTAGCATATCATAGTATATTTATTTTTCCACTATTTCATTTTCCTTTGCTCTTTAGATTTAGTATTAATACTTTGTCTCTGGATCTGTATTCATAATCTGCCTTTTGTCAGGTATAAGCCTTATCCATTATATATTACTTGCTATCTACTATATATTATCTATGTTTTACTTTGCACTTGTATTTACATTCTCTATAAAATATATTTATATTTGGTTTAATTTTGTATTATTTTACTTTATTTTTATATTATTTTTATATGTATTTCTTATATTTATTTTATTATTATTTTTATTTCCATTTTTTTATTATTATTTCTATTACTACTATTTTTAGTTTTTTTACTTTTATTTTCTATTATTCTTTACCTTTCTAGTTTAGATTTTCTCCTTCTTCTCTAATGCTTCCTAAGAAATCCATAAGATCCACTACCCAGTGGAAGAAAGTTACCACGGCAATGCTCTACGAACTCTGTGCACAAGCCTATCTAGAACCTCATACGAACAGACACTGAGTATCATTCTTCTCTGACATCGGTAAAATCATACCCGGAAGTGAGGCTTCGGGTGGAACACTGTGAGGAACGCACGCCGACCTCACCGGCGGACACCACACAACAAGGACTACAGCTCCCACAAGTCATATCTACCAGGAGAACTGTTGATGTGGCACTCATGCAAATTATCTTGAGCCACTGTTTTTCATTAAAGTCTTATGGATTTTTAAGAAGCCTTTTTTACTTTTCTTTTTCTCCTTTCACCTATCCCATGTTTAATAGCAAACAGTGATTTTGGGTACTGTGTTGCTTTTTCTTTTATAGTTTGTTTCTTTTGCTTTTGTTTTTTCTTTTTATATTCACTGAAAGTCAGTGAATTATATTGCCTTGCCAATAGGTCTCCACGACTGTACATCCCCTATATACACAGTTCAGTGTGATTACCCTTGTGCTACACTTTGTGGACTATTGGACTTTAATTACTAATTTACAACTTTCAATTCTCTCATTTATGGGATTTTATATATGGACTTATTCTGGACTTACCATGCATACATTTAAATGTATATGAAATGAATTTATTGTTGTGCTCTTATACTATACTATAGTGCTATTTTATTTCAGCTCCTGGAAACCTTTCATCTTATTCTTATAAGTGATATTGATTTACAGGCATTACATAGAGTCAACACACATTTGACAAATTACATACATCTAACCAACACTCACACATCACATACAGCCAACACCCAAAACATGCACACTCATTACACCTAGACACCACACAAACTATGGGGGAGGACAGCGGGAAAGACACTAAACTTAAATTTTCCCAAATTAAATCTGAATAGCAAAACTGAGCCAAAAGTAGCCAGCTGTGGCTAAAGCGGAGTTAAAGAATTTATCCCGATCATTTCTTTTTTCCTCAGTTTTTCAATTTTGATTTAATTTAGGAAAATGCAGAGTTAGTGAATAGCCCTGCCAATTTCCAGGTCTAAACTTTAGAAATTAAAATAATTTGGTGTCAGGATAAGATTGGTCTACTACTTGGGCAAAAATATTTTTTTCAATTTCCACACCCCTTGTGCATGCAGAGTTCCGTTAATAATTCTTAACAGATTAATTTTACACGTATGTAAACAAGCTCTGTATGTAAGCTAGAACAATGCAGTCAGTTCTGGTAATTTGCCTGCTTAGAGTTGGAGGAAATACAGATATAATATTATGTTCAGCACAAACCTTTAGTGTCTGGTCTATCTGTTCTATTTGGCACCTTAACTAACTTAAGGTGCCAAATAGAACAGATAGACTTGGTACTAAAAAAAACAATAGGTGTGTGCTGGACATAATATTTTATTATGTTTAGCAGAGTCTGGGTCCATGCACCCTGAGTTGGATGATGTATTTTTGTAAAGGGGGAAAAGGACACAATGAAAATGCCAGAGTTTTTTTAATTTATGGCTAGTTGACCATAAAATAAAATATGATGTCAACTAAGATATACTTACCAGTTGCATTAGTATAGAACCCTTCCGGACAAGGAACACACTTGTGACAGCAACTGTGGTTGCAAGAACTTTTGGAATACCCCTTTGGACAAGATTTGGAGCAATTTGAAAAAGGTACCTAAGTAAACACAGAAAACTGAATTAGTAATATTGATTCTACAGATCTATTTCACAAAATGTAATCCTATCATTTAAATTATGCTTCATTTGCATGTGTGCCAAAAGTCACCAAATCCTGAAACATTCTATTCCCATACTTTCTTGAAATATTCTAATACCAATCAGTTTTAATGTTTATACATAGGTTTACGCTGAATTTGACATGTATTACATTTAAAGATATTCTTTGTGTAGATTCTGATAATATTTGATAACAATGTTTGTTTGTTTTTTAAATTGGCATAGCTATAGTACTTATATACAGTTTACTTGACCTGGATGCACTAGAGTCATACTTTATTTCCAAAAATACATGGAGACTTTTTCTTTTGTACTATGCCATGAGCACTGTCCCTGCCCATCAAATCTGTTTACTTGTATTTAACTGATATTCAGTAACATATCAATGAGGATCATAGGGGGAACAGTTATGATTGGGCTCTGTGTCGCACCCAAAATGTATGACAACATAAAAATGCAACTCAGTTCATGTTTTATATTGGAATCATTTGGGTGTAACACTGGGATTGACACATTTGCTTGGAATCTAGGAGCCAGTTATTTTTTTTAAACAGTTTAATTTTCAATTGCAAAAATACAATTCTTTAAGGGGCACTATAGTCACCAGAACTACTACATCTTAAAGGACCACTATAGGCACCCAGACCACTTCAGCTTAATGAAGTGGTCTGGGTGCCAGGTCCAGATAGGATTAACCCTTTTTTCTGTAAACATAGAGAAACTGCTATGTTTACCTATGGGTTAATCCAGCCTCTAGTGGCTGTTTCATTGACAGCCGCTAGAGGGCTTCCGCGCTTCTCACTGTGATTTTCACAGTGAGAAGACGCTTGCGTCCATAGGAAAGCATTGAGAATGCTTTCCTATGGACTGGCTGAATGCGCGCGCGGCTCTTGCCGTACATGAGCATTCAGCCGAGAAGGAGGAGAGCTCCCCACCCGGCGCTGGAGAAAGAGCTAAGTGTAACCCCTTCCTCTCTCCATCAGGAAAACGAGTATGTTTTCCTGGCACTATAGTGGTCCTTTAATATAGTGGTTTTGGTGTCTATAATCTGTCCCTGCCTTTTCAGCCTAGTAACACTCAGACGACCACTGGGATGATTCATAGTCCAGTGCTGCACAGTGTGCAGCACCTATGTTCAGTGTCTCAAAGCACTGCGTAAAGGCGCTGAATGTTCCCCTCTTAGAGATGCATTGATTCAATGCATCTCTATGAGGAGATGCTGATTGCTGCAGCACAGAATTTTACCATGCATGGGCAATATCCTCCTAATCTTTTTCTATGGAAAAGCATTGTCTTAGCTGAGATCATCAATTTAATAACCTAAACAGACACATTTAGACAAACAGACACACTCACACACAGATTAACCGATATTTTTAAAAAGACACACATTGATACTGAAAGTCACACACACACTGATACTAACAGACGCACACACATTTCTCACACACTCACAAATATTATTTTTTTAAATTTTAATATTGGTCTACCCAGCCTCCCTCCCAACAGAAATTTCCTGCACACACCTCAATAGTTAGATAATTTGACAGCATTGCATTAATCACATATATTTGTTTGTAATATATACAAGCTGTGCTTTTACTGAAATTCCAGAGAGCATAAACAGCGCATTGTTTATGGGTAGAGATGACTGGGCCCGACATAAAACTGCAGGGACATGTCATGACATATTCTTAGTACTCGCTTAGTGAAAAGTTATTAAATGTTCCTTTGAGCTAAAGCCCAAGATGTTTCTGGAATATAGAAATGCTTATTTATCAAATTGTATTAACATAATAGCATTCATTAATATTTTTCAATATATTATTACGTAATTAATTTCTATAAATTATGTGTAATATACGTAAGGTTTCGTTTAACAATTAGTAAACCACAACACAGTAGATTCCTACACTATTTTAAAATAATTGATGCATACCTCTTTGTCTTGTGTGTTCCACAACACTAGATCTCTGTTTATAGTTACAGTACTTTTATTTATATTATAATTTCCAACAATAATAAACTGTGTAGAGGCATTCACTCTTTTCCAGTTTATTATATCGAGTTCACTTGTAGAGATGTTGCCAAACTGATCAAATTTAAATTGTTCACCGTTGTAGACAAACGTGCCATTAAATAATCTATTAAGCAGCTGAAAGAGAGAAAAATATGAGAAGACTGTAATTTACAACAAGTAAATTAAAATAATTTCTGTCTAATGCTTTTCAACAATGTGACACTTATTTTGGTTTTCTGTGTGCCTGTGAGACCCAAGTAAGTGTTGAACTGTTGAAATATAACTTGATTACACATTGCACAAATGGACTCCTGGCATTGGCATAATTACCACTACAGCATGCATTATAGTACTAAGAGTGCCCTTTTAACCAATTCACTTCTGCACTTGTGTATGCATAATTGCCAGAGTATGCATTCATAGCTTCACAATTTTGTATACACGATTTTCATAATTGCAAATGAAATTATTTTATTGCTCAGGGATCTCGATAACAGAGTCTTTGGACCTGCATGGTCCCTGTAGCATGATACAAAGTAAAAAAAAAAACTAGGCTTGAGAGCCACAAGTGTCTTTATAAAGTCAGGAGCTAGTCAAATTACAGGCAGAGGTTGGGACAGGGCTGGCGTTTTCTATAGACCAATTAGGTGGCCGTCTAGGGCACTTCTTAAGTGCTATGAGCAGCCCCTCTATGTGGGACTAATTATGTATTGCGTGCAGCATGTCATGGCACTTTGCGCTAAAGGGGTACTTGCATAGCACTTGCATCAACCTTAGCCTGCAAAGATCAAAGAGAGCCAACCCCCCTCCACAAACCATCCCTTGCCAGCAGCGCAAGGGCTCCTGCCCCTTGTCCTGTACTTGAGGTCAAGTGGGTGGGAGGGTAGCTGGCGCGGGCTGAGACAGAGAGTGAAGGCAGCCAGGCACAGTCAAGTAGCCTAGACACATCTAGAGCCAATATGAAATCAAGGTAAGAGGGGGGAATCAAAACAAGCATATCAGCCTGTTTGAGTCAGTGCGTGTGTGTCTGTCTGCTTGAGTCAGTGTGTGCTTGGGTCAGTGTGTGTGTATCTGTTTGGGTCAGTGTGTGTGTATGTCTGCTTGGGTCTGTGTGTCTGTTTGGGTCTGTGTGTGTGTCTGCTTGCGTCAGTGTATGTGTGTTTGCATTGTTCAGTGTGTGTGTCTGATTGGGTCATTTTGTGTATGTGTGTGTCAGTCTGCATCAGCCAGTGTGTGTGTGTGTGTGTGTCTGCGTGGCCTGTGAATTTATGTTTGCGATTGTGTGGACCATTGAGTGTGAGTGAGTGAATGAGTGTACGTATGTATGTATGTATGTATCTATCTATCTATTGGTGATTGCATTATTATCCATTTTAATAAAAATAAAAAAAACACTATATGAACCTGTATTCCAAATACTATAGTGTTTCTGTCCCTATATAGATTCAAGCCCCCCCTCAACATAAACATGATTTAAAAGTGGGGGGAGGCGGGTAATGTATGTTTTAAAGCACTAATACTATATCTCCACTGCTTGCCTTCTTACCTTGCACAATGTCACTGGTGGGGCAATGCTACTCCAATCCAATGTTCCTCATATAGCAGCTGATGCGGAAACGCTATGCACATCCAACGCTCATAGTAAAACATGGCATTGTAGCGAAGGTGCCTCTAGTAGATGTGAAAGATTTCCAGACAATGGTTTCTATAGGCCCCTGATATATTTGTATAATTGTATAAAGACAAGAAGAGGCTACAATGCAGGATAAACCAGCACTGTTGTCTCACAGTAAGTTACAGAGGTGCTAGAGGGCATGAACCCTAGAGATATTTAGAAAAAAGAACAAATATAAAGTGTAGTGGGGATCTGCCCACTAAAAGTAGGCAGAACCTACTCCACCCAAATACACCTCCAAGAGTTAAAATATGGTCAAAGTGGTATAAACCTTTATTGATATCTAGAGCCGAATAGATAAATACAAAAAAGTGCAAATACACAAATGTGTAATGAGTTGAATAGATAAATAGATAACATTTTACACATTACACATTTTTGGATTTGCACTTTTTTGTATTTATCTATTCGGCTCTAGATATCAATAAAGGTTTATACAACTTTGTATAATGTTGTTATTATATCCCCTCCGAGGTTCCGTTTTTCTAAACTAAAGAGGTTTAAATGTGTTAACCTTTCTTAATAGCTAAAATGTTCTGTAATGGACCCTCTGTCAATCGATGCTCCTAGTGCTTACCAAGGACCATCAGTACCGCACCAGACACCATAAGCACCACAGCCCCCACGAACCGCCGTAGCTTGGTTGGGGTCTCGCCGTCTCCTACCCACCCTGGACCTACGACAAGGCTCCAGGTTCCAGTGGGTGAACCTCTCTTTCCCCAAAGAGTGAAGCAGGAACAGGAACAAGCTCTTACACGAGCTTAGTGATTATTCAAGGAAGTATGAAGAGCATAGCAATCCCTGTAGTGATTATAGCTGCCCCCACCCCAAACACGAGACGAGGCTGCGAGTTGAGGGTCAAGTAGAACTGAAGGTTTAGTGGGACAGCGGCTTCTTTTATACAGTATTTCCCCACAAGGTTACCTCCCACGTTGTGGGGCACAGGTCATGAAATGCACAATCCAATAAAAACTGAGTTTTACATTTGAACACTCCCAGTTACTGTACACAAAACCTCCCCTCTGCCTGTGATACAATTAACAAAGACAATGGACTAACTAAATTAACTTTAGCAGAAAAAAACACATACATTTTTACAAACCCCAAAAAGTACCCCAGAATACAACATATCCCCGATCTGGGTGAACAACATATCCAAAAATCACCCAGATCGGTTCAGGGGTTTAGGAATTTCCTGGAAGTCTTATTGTTGCCCTACCGTGCACATGGTCCCATGCCCAAAACAGTTCCATACACTCAACGGCAAAACACTGCTGGACAATTTAAGATGGCCGCTGCCACATGTTTGAATCTGTTCCAGTTAGAAGTCCAAGGGGCTTCAAAAGGGGCCATGTTCAAAAGCGGCTTTTGAACATGGGTTATCACAGGGTCCATAGACCCAAGGTAGGAGGCAGGCAAGCAGGCCCCTTCAAAAACCAGTGGTGAAGTGTAGTTCATCACATGTTACACACATTTAATAATTTTGTAGCCCACCTCTGCCCTTTTTCTAGTGCCAAAATATCCTTCTTAAGAACAAAATTGCACAGCATATTCAAGGTGTGGTCTTAGCAGTGAATCATAAAGAGGCAAAATTATATCTTCAACCCGAGAATTAATGTCCCTATTTATACATGACAATACCTTACTGGCCTTAGCCACTGCTGATTGACATTGCACATTATTGTCTAGATTGTTGTCTATAACAATTTCCAAATTCTTCTTAGGTGTTGTTATCCCTAATTCACTACCATTCCGAGTATAAGTTGCTTGTGCATTCCTTATCCCGAAGTCCATAAGCATTGTTTTCTAAGTGTAACAGTAAAACCTAAACAACTATATAGAGTACTCAGTAATGCTTTACTTTTACAAAGTCACATATCATTGTAAAGCCCTATAATAAATCCAACATAGAAACATTAATAAATTGTAAAAAATAAATAAAAAAACAGTATACACAATGTGTAAAATTATTGAAATGAACAATGGCATCCGCTACTGCTGGGGTTTTCCAACGAAAGTCCTGGCAATCAAAGATGGAAAACTCATACCGTTACTCACCCCGGAAGATGGTCTCCGTAAGCTAAAATCCTGGGGCCTTGACAACTTACCTGACGACCAGGCAACAGGTGCACAATGGAGAATTAGACTGGACTGGTCCAGAGTCACAAAGGAACGCTGATAACATAGACTATCCTCCAAACTGCCTCCTGGTACCGCAAGTATCTCTCCCAAGCACCTTCAACTCAAAATATGCCCTCAGTCCTATCAGTTAATATTGATTTGTTGTAATCCCCCAATCAGACATGCACACAATGCATCTATTTAATTTCTGACCTGTGTATAATGGGGCAATAACATACACCTTTATTGGTAATGATGAGAAGACGTAACTCCCGAGCTAGTCTTACACATATCGCATCTGTTTACATGCTTATTTAGTAGACACTGTAGTACTAAAACATGCCTATATCGATTAAGGGTGAGAAATGCAATTCCCAAATCATACACCTACACAATGTACCTGTTTTCTTTTGTATTTTGTATATTTGACTACTATATGCCTAATGCGCCACAAAAACACATAACACGCACCTTGCCACCCCCATAAATCCCAGCCGGTGCAATACCACCTGTCACAGGAAGCAAGCAGGGAGAGCGACAAAAAAAAATAAATTATAATAAATAAATAAATAAATAAAAACACGGGAGAGCGGACCAGGAAGGATAGCAAAATTGGAAGCCTCTAAACCAATTAGTTATGTCAATTTTAGTTATGTTAGAGTTTTCGTTGTTATTCTCTTTTTCTTTGTTTTATGCAAGCGTGCTAGATGCCACAAACTGAAGTAGGCTCAACAATTGACCCAAACAACTTGTTAACTTCTTACAAGAGCGAGGGAATCAGAAGCTGCCCAAAATCAGGACTGAAGGAGAAAGCCCATCGGGCGCACCTGAAATCAATCCCACCCACTGGCACGCCAAAAACCCGGCACCACGGCCGGAATAACTCTGTATGTCTAGGCTCGTCCCACAGGGGACTCTAGTGGCATCGCATCCCTAATGGGAAACCACCCATTCACATTCCCCCACCCACACCCCTGGACTCAACCCTTCACAAAATCCAAGTTTTTACCTCCCTTTCCAGCCATGGACACCAGTGCCCCCCAACACAATTCACCACCTTTCCCAGCAGACCAATGCAAAGAGTACAGAACTAGCATGCCATACACTTCGCCAAAAAAAGCAACAAGAACTAGTAATAAAGTCTATCACAGATAAAGTCCAGACAAATTACATCCCTGCTCAACCTAGAGAAAATACCAATGATACAATTCTACTCACATAATGTGAGGGGCATGAACACCCCTCACAAACGAAGAATGCTACTCAAAGACGCAAAAACGTCTCACGCTGACGTAGTGTGTCTCCAAGAGACGCACTTTGTCAAAACCAAAGTCCCTACCTTTGGTATCAAAGATTACCCAATAAAATACCACGCAACGCATACATCGAAAGCTAGAGGGGTATCAATTTTGATACATAAATCGCAGACCTTCGAACTACTAAAACTAACAACAGACAACCAAGGACGATACATAATACTATTATGCAACATAAACAACATTAAATATACCATAGCAAACGTATACAGCCCCAACACTAACCAGAGGAACTTTCTGCATAAAATACTCATGAAACTAGACCCCTTCAGGTCAACACAGCTCGTCATATGCGGGGAGTTCAACCATATGATTGACCAAGATAGGGACACAACAGCCGTACCACAGACACTCAGAAATAAAATGTTACACAAGCAATGCACAGCCATCACTAAACTATTATCGGAATTTGAGGTATGAAAACTTCTCAAGCTCAACTTCTATCACTATTAAGACAACTGAGAGATGCCACCACACAACACTTTCTCTCCCCGACATCAACCCTGCAAACCACCATAAACCAAACACAAAAATTGATCAATGACTGGCATGTAAACAAAACGATGTACATACAACAGAAATTTAAGATAAGGGAATATGCTCAAGGCAACAAAGCTGGTAAATTATTGGCATCCAGAATTAGACAACAACTACAAAACCAAAAAATCCCATATTTCCTTCAACCAGAAAATATACAACCCACAACATATAGCTGACGAACTAGCACAATATTACTCTACATTATATAACCTTAAACATGACGCAACCATTCACCAACCGACAACAGTAGAGATAAACAATTTCCTCTCTCAGGTGCACCTACCAAACCTATCCCCAGACCAACAATACACACTCCAAAATCCCATCACAATGTAAGAAATAACATCCACAATTGATGCACTACTGTCTGGCAAGGCCCCAGGACCCGACGGGCTCCCAAATTCTTACTACAAAACGTACTCCAGCACATTAAGCCACCCCCTAAATGCAGCGTTTCAAGCTATGTTAATATCAGGACAAACACCACAAGAAATGCTAATGGCGCACATCGCCGCTCTGCCAAAACCAGGCAAACCCCCAGTAAAAGGGCAAAATCTTCATATCACTATTAAACACGGACATCAAGATTTTTGCAAAAACTTTTTCTAACAGACTGGCCGCTATTATACCAACAATAGTACACGACGATCAAGTGGGCTTCACTAGAGGGCGACAGGGAGCGGATGGAACTAGGAAGGTGCTGGATCTAATGCACAGCCTCCGGGGAGGGGGTGGCAGCATATTCCTGTCTTTGGACGCAGAAAAAGCGTTTGATAGGCTCAACTGGCCCTTCCTCCTCGGGGTGCTACACAAATTCTGCTTCCCAACACAATTCTTAAACGCAGTAAAAACACTCTACAGTAACCCCGCTGCGAAAGTCAATACAGGTGGGTTTCTTTCTCAATCATTCAACATAACCAATGGTTCGAGACAGGGCTGCCCCCTATCCCCCTTATTGTATATTTTAGCACTGGAACCACTCACCGCCCTGATCCGAAATAATCCACGGATACAAGGCATAAAAATCCACAAAAATGAATATAAACTTACGTTGTTTGCTGACGACATTCTCCTTACCCTGACAGACCCCAAAATCTCGCTACAAGAAATCACATCAACGCTAGAAGACTATAGTAAACACTCATATTATAAATTGAATGTGGCTAAGACGCAAGCCATGGGCATTAACCTCACTAACGCAGATACAAAAGCCCTAAAATCAGAATTTAAATATGACTGGCGTACGGACCAACTCACTTTCCTAGGGATAAAATTCACGCAATCAGTGCAACAACTTTTTAAGGCCAACTATACAACACTACAGACACAAGTTCAATCACTTCTCCAGGGATGGCACAAAAAATACATTTCCTGGACAGGCCGGGTGGCTGCAATAAAAATGGTAGTCCTACCCAAATACCAATACCTCTTTGGGACATTACCAATCCGAATACCACAATCCTACTGCACAGAAAATCAACATATACTGAACAAATTCATATGGGCAGATAAGAGACCAAGACTAGCCAATTCAACAATGTACAGACACCACAAGAAAGGAGGCATGAGCCTTCCCAGTATACGCCAATACTACCACGCGGCAAACATTAACCCTATAGATATAGCACAAACACAAGAACATTAACCACAGTGGGTGACTTTAGAATCAGCAGCCACTCCGGGACATCATTTCTTATCACTTATGTGGATTCCACAACACAGCAAACCCAAAAACCTAAAGATGTTACCCACGACCGCTCTAACAAAACACATCTGGGACACCCATAGAGCGAAACTATGTATGACACAAGCTTACTCACCAGCGAAGACGATTACAGTCGCTGATTCCAAACTTCAACTCCCATATATGGGAAAAACACCACATATACCACTTTGCACAAATTGTACAAGGGAAAAATATCAAAACCTTCCAAGATTTACAAAAACAATATAGCTTACCAAACACAGCTGAATATGCATATCTGCAAATAAGAGCATTGCTCCTAAAACATTACCTGCCAGCAATAAAACTTGTAAATGAGCAACGGCTGACGAGCTTCGAACGATCGCTAACAGCAAAAATGCCAAACAAAAAATCATTCTCCCTGATATACGACTGCCTAAACTCAGGAGCACATAGCAAAAGCCTAACGTTTGTGCAAAACTGGGAGAAGGACCTAAAACTCACCTATCCAGACACAGAATGGGAAAAACTATTTAACACTCAAAAAAAATACATGTTATGCTCTTCACACATAGAACTGACCAAAAAGATTTTGTACAGATGGTATTTAGTCCCAACAAAATTACATAAAATGTTCCCCGCAGTATCAGATCGCTGCTGGAGATGTCTGGAAGCTAAAGGCGACATGCTCCACATTTGGTGGACCTGCACACGATTATCCACCTATTGGAAAGAAGTAGCTAAGCTAGTATCAACAGTAACGGATTTAAACTCCCCAAAGCCCCAGAAATATACCTCCTTCATAAATACCCCCCGAAACTACACCAGCCACGGCATATCTCACCTACCAGATCTCTATAGCAGCACTAATGCTAATCAGTAGGGCATGGAGATCCACAATGGCCCCAACAATTCAAGAATGCACTCAACAAATAGAACAAAATAAGACATACGAATGCGCAGCCAGAAAGGTGGCCAACCAAAAAAACAAGATATGGAAAATTGCCTGGGAAAACTGGAACACATCCATAGAAACCCTAAGAATTAACACACAAATATTGTATCTGACAGAGGTTCTCAGTTTTTGTCCCGGTTTTGGAAGGCTTTCCATAAGCAGTTGGGCATTGTCTTTTTCTTCCTCTTACCATCCCCAAACCAATGGCACAGCTGAGAGGGCTAACCAATCATTGGAATTATATTTGCGTTGTTTTGTTAATAGCACTCAGGATAATTGGCCTGAATTACTTCCCTGGTCCGAGTTTGCTAGGAACAATGCTACCCAGGACTCTTTTGGTAGTCCTTTCTTTGTTAATAACGTTCATCATCCTACGGTTCTGCCGGCTGTTTTCTCTGACACAACTATCCTTGCTTTGGATGATCACCTTGCCTCAATTTGTGATACTTGGACAAAAGTTCACTCCGTTCAAAGTACTGCGGCTGATCGTTTCAAATTTCATGCTGATAAACTGTGGGGTGCCAACCCTGTTTACCAAGTGGGTGAGAGGGTGTGGTTATCATTGCCCAACATCAAACTTAAAGTTCCTAGCATGAAGTTTGCTCCCAGATTCCTTGGTCCATTTCTTATCCTTCGTAGAATTAATCCTGTTTCTTATTCTTTGGCTCTCCCGGCCTCTTTACGTATTCCTAATACATTTCATGTTTCTTTGCGCAAACCACTTATTTGCAACTGTCCCAACTGTTCCATCACCCCCATTGGTTGTTTCTGGACAGGAGGAGTATAAAGTCCCTTCCATAATTGATTCCAGGTTCATTACAGTATTTGGTTGATTGGAAGGGATATGGGCCTGCTGAACGTTCTTGGGTTCTGGCCTCAGATATTCATGCTGGTCGCAAGATTCGTTATTTCCACTCCAAGTTTCCCCTCAAGCTGGGTCCTGCCTGCCTGGTGGGTGGTTTTCAGTTGGGGGGTAATGTAACATATTCAGCCTCACCTTACAGTATCTCCGCTCAGCGGCCATGCGTCAGTGTACCTGAATGCTGCAACATGTTGATGGACTCTGGCCACGGGGGATCCACGCCAAATTATAGCCCCACATCCGCCCGCGGTAATAAGGACATCACCATGCGTGTGACATCACGCAGGAGACACGCGCGCACATTCTGCGGTCAGAGGCTGATTTCAATCAGAAGTGTAAAAGGCTTATTTAAATGCATTTCTACTTTTCCTCATTGTCCTATCGTGGTTTCCCTAGTGGTTGTCCAGAAGTTTATTTCTGGTTACTGACTTTGGCTTCGTTTGTCTTCCCTGTTTTCTGGTATCCCTAACTATTGGCTTTCCCTCATCGTAGTGTTTCATTCTGTGTCCCCAACCTCGGCAAGTATTCTGACTATTCTCTGGTATGTTAAGTCCAGCCATTCTAAGGCCTGGTAAAACATTACCTGTTAGTCCTAAGTGTGATACAGCTCTATGTGCTGGATCAACCTGTAATCCTGACAGGCAGCATGTGGGAAGGGGAGATGAGAAGGAGCAAGAAGAACTGCTCCAGACGTCTCACTTTCACCAGCCAGCAGCAGGAACAGAACTACAAGCAAGCCACCCTCCTGGACACACAAGGTAAGCTAACAGGAGGATGGCTGTAGATATAAAACAATATCACATATTTGTGCTTAAGTGTATGTCAGATTGTGTGTGTGTGCACCTATGTGTGCACATCTGTTTGTGTGTGTATATAATCTGTGTGTATATGTTAATGTGTGTATCTGTTTGTCAGGGTGTGTGCATGTGTGTTTTTGTGTATTTATGTCAGCGTATGTATCTATGTGCCAGTGTGTGTGCGCACACATCTGTGTGTCAGGATGTGCATCTGTGTATATGTATATGTGTGTCAGTGTGTGTATCTGTGTGTCAGGGTGTGCCTTTGTGTGTGTATGTTGGTGTATGCGTATGTCAAGGTGTGTGTGTGTGTATCTATGTGTGTGTGTATCAGTGTCAATATGAATTTGTGTGTATGTGTCAGTGTATTTATATGTTTCTGTGTGTTAATGTTTATGTATATCTGTGCAAGTATGTATGTGGCAGTGTATGTGCATACATCCAAGCAATCAAACACCAGCACAACATACAAACACATTCCTGAAATCTAACACAAATATTACATACAAACACACCCCTGCCATCAAACTCCAAAATTATATACAAACACACCCCTCCACTCAAACACCAATACTACACACAAATGTACATCAGCATCTAAAAGCTAACATTACATTTAAGCACACCTGCAGTCAAATGCAAGCATTACATGATGGGAGTAGTCGGCTGGCTCTACCTCTTCACTGCCGGGCGCGCCCTCCTCCCGCGTGGAGTGAGCTGGGAGGAAGGTAGTGACGGCCACTTCCTCCCAGCATCACTTGCTGCTGCTGCTTTTTTGTTTTTTTTAAAGGGGCCCAGTCGCGCTATTACATCTCTCTGTATCCAGCACTGCAAGCCGCCCTTCAATATAACTGCAGCTCCTTATATATACACAATGCAACCCCTATATGTTTTTACTTTGGGTAAAAGAATGTTGAGTTTTGCCAAAGGCATCACAAAGTCTAGAACCACCACTGTTCATATATTCCATTCTAGAACTTTAGCAGATAATCCATCATTGTGAAATTAATATGTCCCAGCATTGTAGTTTTGTTGGTAAGCCAGTCATTGATATCACTTCCTTTCTCCTGTTTTATCTGATGATGTGGTGATTTAGTTCATGTTCATTATGTTCATTAGAGAGTTGAGATATGAATGAGATGTGGTTGAAGATAAGATAACATTGTCACCATCTCCTTCTATCAGGTCTATGCTTCATTCACCCTCTGCCACAGATGAAGGCACTGTAGGAGTATGGGCAAGAGAGGAAACATATGCTACAGTTTGAGGCTTTTGTTGCCTTGGTATCTGCCTGATGTAGACTGTGGTGGCTAAATACATATCTGCTGGAAGGAGCTGCTTGCTGTAGGCTGAACTTGACTCCATAGGCACAGAGTGGTAAGGAGAGATAAGAGGCATCACGTGGCTTGGTATCATTATCCATTCTTGACTCAAAACTGCTCTAAGCTATCTCTGCATCCATTCAGTACTTGCCTCATAACTTTGCAGCCATCCTTGAGCAATTTGTTGAGGTTACAGCATCTCTCTTGTAGTTCTCTGTTCTTCCTGCCATGCCACACTTGTGGAAGGACAGGAACACCGTGTCAGTATCAGCGAGTGAGCACCGGCTGAACTGTACTGGCTACTGCTACAATTTTCTGATCTATATATCATGGATGGAAATAGTTTGTGTTGAGATTTTGCTATTGGGGAGACAAAAAGAAAAGGAGATATTACTACACTATTATTGTTTATCTTCTATCCTTATAGCCCAAATCAATACATTATAGATTGAGATATCAGTATCTTAACTTTTAAAATGTCTACTGAGCTTGCTACACATACATATTGATACTTAATTATATGCCTTATAATGCAAAGACACGTAACAATGCTTTAACTTGAGTTCCCTAACAGCATGAGCATTTGAGCAGCTCCACTCACTCACTATATTTCATGTTCACTGCATGAAATATATTTTAATTTTATACTTATCGGGCCTCTTTGATTCTCTGAAAGCATGGCATTAAATCTATGTTTAGGTGCTTGTCATCTGGGAAAATTTATTCATTGACAATGGTTTGACCAACATCTCCCATCTAGAGATGAAAATACTCATCAAAGCATTTGGAGTACCTTGTCATGATACATTGTTAACTTGCCAAGTCTCAAAGTGTGGCAGAGATGTTGTGCATTTGGTAGAACTGAGACATGAACCTCCATGCTAGAGACTGTTATTTCTCTTCTGCCCTTGTTTAGTACATTTTGTTATTAAGCCTTTGGGTCTGTGCAAGTGTTGCGAACTACTGTTTTAATTCCTCTTTTTGCTTGCTAAAGAACATAAGTTTACTTAAGTAGTCCCGAAAACCATGTGATGAGTTTAGCTCATTTATCTTTTGTGTTTATATTACAATCTCAATATTGTCGGCATTAATCAGTGAACATGGTATTTTGTCCAGATAGACAAAATCTGGTGAAAATTACAAAATTCCAACATCATTGGCAATTCTTTTTTTTTTCTTAAATTTTTTTTATTAATTTTAAATATATAACAAATACAATCAGAAATATCAATGTTGGGACATAACAGTATTAATTTGTAAAAAAAAATTTACGTTTCTTGAAAGTCCTGATAAAAGACAAAGTACATACATACATACACATATTGGTAATTCTTAAGAAGAGAGAGAGGAAGAACTCTGAATTTATTTTCATTTCGCTCACATTAATATGTGTAGTACTTCCAATTTCCCTTCAGTCTCATGTAGCTGAAGAAAGTTGTAGTCAGTAACTTTACATTCTATTTCACAGTGCCATAGACTTACATAACAACAGAATCAACCTACAGTAATCAACAACAGAAGGTGCTATGGGTATGATATGTTCCATAATTTATAAGTTCAAATTAGAGCACCGTGGGTGCCCGGGAGGGAAGAAGAGATCGCTAAACCTTTGTAAGTTTATAATATTACAATGAGTATTCAGATGTGTCCATATTGATTTGTCTTAATAACATCTTCTCGTTTAAATTCAAATAATCGGCAATTGTTATATTCATATTTACAAAAGCCAAATGTGTTTGGAATATGGTCGACCCCAAACAAATCGGCAACAATTGCCCAAATGAATTCAAAATATTGATTAAAATTGGTGCAGTAGTGGTTCTGGTCTTTAGACTGACCCTTCAAAACAGGGGTGCACAAAAGGCAGATCCTTAGATGTTGTAGTACTACAATTCCCCTGATGCTTTGCAAGCCTTTAGAATTCCCTTAGAATGACAAAGGATCATGTAAGCTGTAGTTTTAAAACATCTGGGGATCTACCATGTGGGCACCCATGCTTTAAAACAATGAAATGATGACACAAACTGTCTGGGATTAATTGTTTCTCTATAAGAAGCATCCAAACGCCCAGATCCCAATTGCATGGACAATATCTCAAATATAACTATTCTAATCAACAATACCTTAATATATTATTTCCTAAATGTGTAAATGTTTTGGACGAACTGCCTTTACTTTATCATTATAATGCAAGTTTTTATGGTAAACTGGTTAAATTTCTAGTATTAAGATTACATATGTGAAAACTGAAAATCAATGTAATACATTTAAAATCAAAATCCATGTACTAGAAATACACCAAATCCAAATAGATCTCCACATTTATATAATTACAACTGATATAAATTCAACCTAATTGATGGACACAAATCCAATCTAAATTCCTCTGCTCTATAAGGGGAAGATCTGAGTCCAAGTCTACATTTTTCAATACCTTGCACAACAAAATTAGATAAATCTCCATCTACATATTCTTTGCCTTGAAACTGGTGTTTTGTTGACATTAATTGATTCAATACTTTGTTCTACCAACATATCGTGATTTACAACAATAAAATGTTATTAGATAAATAATCCCTTTGCTGGCAATGTTGATAAATCATTTATTCCATACATGTTGCTTTTTTTGCAGGTATGGCTCCAGGTGGCACTTTTACAATGACGGCATTGTGTCACCTCTGTACACTGTAATGTGCCTGCTGTGGGGCCTGGGCCGCCTATGTATGTATATATATATATATATATATATATAAAACGATTACGGCTATAAACACACAGACAAAAAACTGCATCCACTACAAACACTACACACATGCACTGCATCCACTACACACACTACATTCACTATACACACTATATACACTACACACATACACTGCATCTACTACACTACACGCACTCTTTGCACTACACTTCACACAATATACAAACACAGACACTGCACACACTACACTGCATGAACTACACAGACAATGCACCCACTACACTAACAGACAATGCACTCACTACACAGACACTGCACCCACTATACTGCATCCACTGCACAAACACCGACACTGCACCCACTACACTGCACTCACACATACACTGCATCCACTAAACACTGCATTCACTACACACACACTCTGTATCCTGTTCTCTGCATTCCCTATACACACTGCATACAATACACACACTGTATTTCCTGGATGTGTGCAAGGGTGGTGTGGGGGGGGGCAACATTTCATCCTTTGACCCAGGCAGCACAATGTCTTGGGCCGGCTCTGACAGTCAATCATGGCAACAAAGAGACATTCCAGTTTTAGGAATCAATGTGAATTTGGTAATGTTTTCCTTTGTAACATGCTTTTTAATCCATGCTGAATACACTTGTATTAAACCCTTAACATGAGGTTAATTTGTTCTTTAATTATGTTTTGTATGTGTTTGAATGTATTTACGCACAAATTTTGAGTTGGTGATATATAGGTGCTGATGAAGCATCCAGGGAGATGTGATACTCAGGTTTGGTATGTAGTCTGTCCCGTTTTTCCCTATAGTCATTAGGTGCTAGTGTATCTTCTGTATCTGCCTATTTTGTGATTTTTGGAAAACCTTTTTTTGTAATTTTTATTTTACTTTACATATACCATATTTTTGTCAAGGAAAGCTGAACATTAAAGGATGGATATTTTTGCACCCTGCTGTGAGAGTGCTTTGGTTGTAAATTATTATTTATTTTATATCTGCTCTATATATTTTTATATCTGCTCTTTATATTTTTATATCTGCTCTATATATTTGCAAAGCAACAGAATGTGTATATGTGTATCCTGAGAATGTCACTTTTTACAGACATCTCACTTCTAGTTACATCAATCTTGAGAATGGAATTTATACTTATTTATACATAAGTGTCTTCTTAAAGCAGTTACTTATGGCAACACATGGTTCCTAATTTAGGCTTGCCTTTACATTTGCAACTTTGGAACCTTGACAAAAGCTTTTTTTTTGGCTTCTTTTGCTTTTTGTGTCCTATATAGTGTGTGTATGACATGCAACCAAATTGCACATTCTACCAGTTATGGTAATCATGAGTAAATTTTCCTTGTCCTAACACATATGACAACATCCTTAGTGGTTTTATGCAACAAAGAAGAATATATTTGAAGGTTTGGGAGCAGAAAGAGAGAACATTCTAAGTGTAAAAGTGAAGGACAGCTTGAAATGAGAAAGATTTAATGTAAGTGATGTTTTATAGTGAACTTACTGCTTCCATGGGTTGTACTCGTATCTATGGAATCTATGACACCAGGAAGCTCTTCCAAAGCTTGCATGATCCTCTGTCAGTAAATAATCTCATCTTAAGTGTGAAACATTATTTCTACCGGTGGTCCTCTTCTCGTTGCTTTCATGTGCAGGCTCACTCTTCCATTTTGTTTAAATGGTTCTTCTGAAGTCATTCCAACATTGTTGTGTGGGATCCAACTGTCCTCTTGTTGATTCCTACACTACTGACACATTCTTAACCTTCTTTCAATATGTCACTTGAAGCAATTTGCTGGCCGTTTAGAATTATTTTTGTGAAATAAGTTACTTTAGCTCTCTAGTACAGTCTTAACATTGCAAAATAGTATTTGTGGGTGAAGTTCAGCCACCCATTTTCCAGCTCTTCAACAATAAAAATCTGTGTGCTCTGCAGCTCTCTCTGTGCTGATTCAGACTGTGTTAATGCAGGCTCCTGGACCTTCTACTATCCCTTCCTAGCATCTTGTCTGATCCCGTTTGTCCTAGCCCTGTCCCCATTTGGTCTGTCTTCTCTGCCCATCTTATTGCCCCTACTGATGCACTTACAAACATTGTAAAAAAAAAAAAAAAAATCAAACAAATATTAGAAATGAACAATTATCAGTATACACCATTGGGTAGAAAATGTAAAAGGAACAAATTGAAACCAATGTGGCTTAGTGGGAAGGGAAGCCAAGAAAGAAAGAAAAAAACTTGCTAAGAAATTATTATTGGATGACTCAAGACAAGGTGCAACTAAAGAAAGTTAATAGAAACAAATTTACAGGGCCTGATAGTATTCACCCATGAGCACATAAGGAGCTAAGTGCGGGGAAAAAGGCTAACCTCTCTTTTTAATTCTTTCAGGATTCTTTTCATTCAGGAATTGTACCAGAAGATTGAAGGAAGGCAGTGGTTTCTATATTCAAAAAGGTTCACCATTTTTCCTGGAAATTATAGACCTGTGAGCTTGACTTATGTGACTGATAAAGTATTTGAAGGTTGGATAAGGGGTTAGCATTAGCAGAAATCAGCATGGTTTCATGAAACATAGATTCATAAAACAAGGATGTCAAACAAACTTAATTGCATTCTACGTAGAAATATAGATCAGAGTGTTGCAGTAGATGTGATCTGCTTGGATTTTGCAAACTATTTGGTTCAGTTCCACGTAATAGGATAGTGTTCAAACTAAAACAACTTAGGAGTCTAGATGAAATTTCTTGTTTTTGGGTAGAACATTGACTTAAAGATAGAGTACAAAGGAGTTGTCATTAATGGTAAATTTTAAAACTTGACAATCATGGTAAGTGGTATCCTCCATGGGTCTATTCTGGGATCACTTCCATTCAACATATTTAAAAAATGATCTTGAAATAGGTATTGAAAGTCATGTTCAAGTGTTTTGCAAATTACACAAACTCTGTAAAATAATACAATGTGAGCAGGATATTACTTTGCTGCACAGGGATTTAGATAGATTAGGCAACTGGGCATTCACATGGTAGATTAATTTTAATTTTGATAAATGCAAAGTAATGCATTTCTGTGTGAAGAATGCACAAGCAACGTAAACCCTAAATGGTAGTGAATTAGGGATAGCAACACATGAGAAGGATTTAGGAATTCTTATAGGCTGTAAACTAGGCAACAATGTGCAATGTCAATCAGCTGTTGCTCAGGCCAGTAAGATATCTGAATCCATAAAAAGGACATTCATTATTGAGATGAAAAAAAGAACAATACCTCTTTATAAATCAAGACACACATGAAAAATCCAATGCAATTTTGGTCATCGGTTCTAAAAAAAAAAAGGATATAATAGCACTATAAAAAGTGCAGTGGTGGCATACAAAACTAATAAGAGGAATGGAAGATTTTAGTTATGTAGAACGCTTAACATTTTTAAATTTGTTTAGATTAGAAAAACAGTGCCCAGAGAGGCTATTGTAGAATTATACAACTATATTCAGGGCCATAACAAACCATCTTTTGGTTCATAAACAAGACTATACATAGGACACGAGGTCGCCCATCTAGGAAATTTAAATCTAGGAAAGGAAATTTAGTATAAGGCAAAGGAAAGGGCCTTTCACTGTAAGAGCCTGAAGAGCCTGTACAGATATGTATATTGATATAATTAGAAATAACTGAAGATAGTACTAGTTAACCAGAAAGGGGGAGAAGGAATACCACAGAGAATATCTCATTCTCAACCCCCTATCTGGAACTGGTACCTTAAAGGCAACCCATGAGGAAATTAAATTAAAATATACCTTTTAATAGAAAACATTAAAAGAAGTGTCAAAAATCATTATAACAATATAAGGCTATAGTAAGCAGACCGTTGGTTAAGTGGTATACAGACTGAATTGCCTTTAGTATAGTAGCAACAAAAGTGGATTTAATAGAGGAAAAAAAGAAAACTAAATAGTAGAAAATAGTTTCCACAATTTGTTAGATTGCAAACCTATAGTAGGAAACCTCCGTTCTAAATAGAAAGACCACCCCGGAGATAATAGAATGAGAAAAGCTCCTCACTGTTGCAACAACCCCGTCCCAGTCGCTAAAGGACCTCTCTCAGCTGTCAACTGAAATTCGTTTCTGATTTCTAATCTAAATGCTGTAATGGTGAGAGGGTCTGATGTATTTAACCCTCAATCAGATAAGCTTAAGACGAAAAATTGCCAGTAGCTGAATGTCCCTGCGGCTGGAGTACCTCTCGGTTGCAAACTAAAAGCCTCAAATTAAAATTAAGCTAGAGCTTTTTCTGGAGTGATTTCTATCTAAAGACATAGTATCTGTCCCTTGTCTATCTCCACAGCTCGCTATAATGAAAAGGTCCCGACGCGCGTTTCGCCGTAACACGGCTCGTCCAGGGGAACCGGGTCAGGAAAAAGTAGTGGTTTAAATATCCCGCCCTCAGCTGCAATTGGCTGGTACTTCCATCAGCCGTTGCTGAGGGGGGAGGGACAAACCACAACGAAAATTTAACCCTTTCTAGCCGGGTACAAATAGGCATATCTATTGTGATAATTAAGTTGTATCAACAATCTTAAACTCAAATGGGACACAAAAGAACTATTTTAAAGGTGAAGAATACGTATGTGTAAATAAATTAATGAGTTTCTTAGGTTCTCCCTTCTCTTAGGGAGTGATAATCATTAGAGACATAGGGAATCATAGAGGTCAATAATTGAAGTTGAAGAAGTTTAATTCTGAACTCTATACGCTGAACTGCCATATTGGTGATAATTCTAGGAGTAACCTGAGGGAAAAGAAAAGAAAATGAAATAGTCACAATGCTATTATAATATAAACCAAAAAATGATGATGGTTGGTTTCCAATTCTAACCACCTCTATGTACCACCACAAAGTGGATAGTCTTAGACCAGAAGTAAGTTCCTCTTCTTTTAGGAATGAATAAACGGGGTAAAATTGAACTCTTCGTTGAGTCCTTTAGGATACAAAGTCTGAAAGGAATAGATCCAGCGGGATTCTGCCTTTAGTAAAGCTATATTGATATCACCTTTCCGGTGATTCAAAGAAAGTTTTTGTATCACCTGAAACTTTAAAACTCCAGGTTTAGAAGCGTGATTGGTTCTTACATGTTTCGAAATTGGGGTTTCAATACGTAAATTTGTAATTGAGTTGATGTGCTGTAAGATTCGTCTGCGTAATTGTTGATATGTTTTGCCAATGTACTGTAGTCCACAGTCACAAGTTATAATGTAAATAACATTGGTGGAACTACAGTTAACAAAGGCATTAATGGTTATCCCTTTGGATGTTCTTTTATTAAAGACAGATTTTGTGGGTTGAATGAAATTACAGGCTTTACAATGGCCACATTTGTAAAGGCCATTCGTAGTCTGAAGCCAGGTAGACGTAGGAGTTATATTTGAAGAGTTGGTGGAAAAACTTAATTATAATGATATTAACCTGCAACTCACTCATGTCATAAATGAGAAACATCTGGTCTTTCTGGACCTGAACATTAACATACACGAGAATGGAGAATAGATCCCGCTGGATCTATTCCTTTCAGACTTTGTATCCTAAAGGACTCAACGAAGAGTTCAATTTTACCCCGTTTATTCATTCCTAAAAGAAGAGGAACTTACTTCTGGTCTAAGACTATCCACTTTGTGGTGGTACATAGAGGTGGTTAGAATTGGAAACCAACCATCATCATTTTTTGGTTTATATTATAATAGCATTGTGACTATTTCATTTTCTTTTCTTTTCCCTCAGGTTACTCCTAGAATTATCACCAATATGGCAGTTCAGCGTATAGAGTTCAGAATTAAACTTCTTCAACTTCAATTATTGACCTCTATGATTCCCTATGTCTCTAATGATTATCACTCCCTAAGAGAAGGGAGAACCTAAGAAACTCATTAATTTATTTACACATATGTATTCTTCACCTTTAAAATAGTTCTTTTGTGTCCCATTTGAGTTTAAGATTGTTGATACAACTTAATTATCACAATAGATATGCCTATTTGTACCCGGATAGAAAGGGTTAAATTTTCGTTGTGGTTTGTCCCTCCCCCCTCAGCAACGGCTGATGGAAGTACCAGCCAATTGCAGCTGAGGGCGGGATATTTAAACCACTACTTTTTCCTGACCCGGTTCCCCTGGACGAGCCGTGTTACGGCGAAACGCGCGTCGGGACCTTTTCATTATAGCGAGCTGTGGAGATAGACAAGGGACAGATACTATGTCTTTAGATAGAAATCACTCCAGAAAAAGCTCTAGCTTAATTTTAATTTGAGGCTTTTAGTTTGCAACCGAGAGGTACTCCAGCCGCAGGGACATTCAGCTACTGGCAATTTTTCGTCTTAAGCTTATCTGATTGAGGGTTAAATACATCAGACCCTCTCACCATTACAGCATTTAGATTAGAAATCAGAAACGAATTTCAGTTGACAGCTGAGAGAGGTCCTTTAGCGACTGGGACGGGGTTGTTGCAACAGTGAGGAGCTTTTCTCATTCTATTATCTCCGGGGTGGTCTTTCTATTTAGAACGGAGGTTTCCTACTATAGGTTTGCAATCTAACAAATTGTGGAAACTATTTTCTACTATTTAGTTTTCTTTTTTTCCTCTATTAAATCCACTTTTGTTGCTACTATACTAAAGGCAATTCAGTCTGTATACCACTTAACCAACGGTCTGCTTACTATAGCCTTATATTGTTATAATGATTTTTGACACTTCTTTTAATGTTTTCTATTAAAAGGTATATTTTAATTTAATTTCCTCATGGGTTGCCTTTAAGGTACCAGTTCCAGATAGGGGGTTGAGAATGAGATATTCTCTGTGGTATTCCTTCTCCCCCTTTCTGGTTAACTAGTACTATCTTCAGTTATTTCTATTTTCCTTAGGGGTTACCCCCCAACATATTTTTGGCAACCTGACAATCTCTCTACTCAACTTTTCGTTTTTTTCTATATGCAGCAGGTTTCAATACCATATTTTGAGTTAGTGAGATATTCAATACTTCATTACATTTAAAAAAATAAAAAAAATTAAAGCAAATATGACTGACTTTTTGGGACAAGTTGTCCACCCAGATTCAAGGTCTGAAGATGTAGCTAATGTTTTTTCTAATAATCCACTTGGAAACAATAGCACTGATTCTACTGATATTAATCATGCCTTTTTCTCAATACAAAAATTATACCAAACTCAATTAAAAGGTTTTTGGGAACTTACTAGCCTTAGGCACTACTTGGAACAAAAATTGGTACCTAGAGGTCTTAGACCAGATATATTACTGCCAGATAAAGTAAAATCTGAAGAACAGATTGCAGAGTGGAATTCAATCCTGTTAGACTGCTCAGCTAAAATTATGCAGTTTCTGATAAAGCTAGAACAAGAAAATTTGGATAAGACTAATGGTGTTCTAGACATAGAAATTAAAAAGATAAAAATATTTGACAAAGAACCTATCTTTACTGCTATGGAAACAAAATTACAAAAAAACTTGGAAAATTTCAAAAAGAATATAAGACAGAAAAAACATTACAAGTTTCAAAGGGACTATAGGGATTTCCAGGAGGGAAATATTTTTAAAAATAAAAATAAACGGAGACTGAGAAACACCAACATGGGGAACAAGGGGTTTTCCTCCTCAGACGAAACAGAATGGTCAGAACCTGAAAGTAGACCTAGGTTCAATAAAAGACCAATGTCCAGACAAATGCGAACAGCCTCTGTAGCTCAACCCAGAGGGATTCTGAGAAACTCTGAGAGGAATATCTCTTTCTCAGATACCTCTGCTCCCCCTAATGATGAACCTCCCTGCGTACGGGAAGGTCTCCCTGGTCCCTCTGGTCCTATCCAGTCCGCTTCGACTTTTTTAGATCAGGACTGGCCACGACCACAAAGGGAAAGACTAAGGGACAGGAAAAAATGGGGATACAAGATGCACCAATCCAATTACCAATAGACATTACAATGAACGAAAATAAAATCATTAATCTATCCACCTTTGAGTTGAAACCTAGGCATCTCTCATTACTTTCTAAAGGGCTATCTTTTATACCAACTCCCCCTAGAAATATGTTTAATTGGGCCAAAGATGTGAACCTGTTTGGACGCAAATTGGCCCTTCATGCCTATCATGAGAAAAGAAACCTTAAGAATTTAAAAGAATTAGGCCTCTCCTCAGAAGACAGTGACATTTTCCAACTCCTGTCAGACCTTTCCTCTGAACAAGAACTTGGTGACTCCCTTACTGACTCGAAACCACCTTCCTGGTTTACTCCTAACCTCAAAGAGTTCCCATGCATTGACCTATTCGTCCAGATGTGTACAAACGAATTAGAGAATCAAACTACCCAACAATCTCCTTTACCAAATTTAAAATATGAAGAAAAATTGGCTTTACAGGAACTGAAACAACAAGACAATATTATTATAAAATCTTCAGATAAAGGGGGAAACATTGTTCTCATGCAAAGTGAGCAGTATATGGACATGTGCATGGCACACTTATCTGATACATCAGCCTATCAAATACTAAAAGAGGACCCCACAAGGGTCTTTTTCAAGGAATTACAACAGCTTGCACAAACTGCTTTAACAGACAAAGTAATCAACCAAAATGAATACAGATATATCGTAACACAATCCAATATAACTATAGCAACATTTTATTGTCTCCCCAAGGTGCACAAAGACATGTGCAAACCTCCTGGGAGACCGATTATATCTGGAAATCACAGTCTGACAGAACAAGCAAGCAAATTCCTTGACAAAGTATTGAAACCAATGGTACAGAAACTCAGCTCCTATATACGGGATACCAAACAGACCCTCCTTGTTTTAGAAAACCTAACGGTGCCCCCATATACGTCAATAGCCAGCCTTGACGTAGTGGCACTATATAATAACATCCCACATGAAAAAGGTCTAGCTGGAGTAGCCTATTTTTTGGAAAAATCTGGGACATTTAAAGAACAAGAACAAGCTTTTATTCTGGCCCTTCTTCGATTTGTTTTAACACACAATTATTTTACCTTTAATGGGAAATATTATTTACAGACAAGGGGCACAGCCATGGGATCATCTTGTGCACCCAGCTATGCAAATCTATTTCTGGGATGGTGGGAGGAAACCATAGTGTCCAATATGCCTTTTCTCTATATTTCATCTATACACAAATGGTATCGTTATATAGATGATATCCTAATTTTTTGGTCAGGTTCTTTTTTACAGTTTGAAGAGTTGGTGGAAAAACTTAATTATAATGATATTAACCTGCAACTCACTCATGTCATAAATGAGAAACATCTGGTCTTTCTGGACCTGAACATTAACATACACGAGAATGGAGATATAAGTACCTCTTTATACAGGAAACCAACGGCAACGAATAGTTTGCTGCACTGGCATAGTTATCACCCACACCATCTGAAGGTGAATATACCGTACGGCCAGTACCTTAGAGCCAAGAGAAACTGCTCCAACCAGGAGGACTATGAGAAGGAAGCCAGAGAGCTCAGAACAAGATTCAAGTCATTGGGCTACCCAAATAGAATTCTAAAAAGAGCATATCAGAGAACCAAAATTGTGGATAGGTCTGAGAGTCTACATAGACCACCGAGAGAACCTTCTACTACCCCCACTGTGACTAGATTTATAGGCACGTTTGATAAATACTGGAACACAGCACAACAAATATTCAGTAGAAATTGGCCGTTACTGCAATACGATACCAGTCTGACCAATACCATTACAAAACAACCTTCAATGGCATATAGACGAGCTAACAATCTAGGGGACATTCTAACACACAGTCACTTTAAACCTGTTTCAAATATAACTCCTACGTCTACCTGGCTTCAGACTACGATTGGCCTTTACAAATGTGGCCATTGTAAAGCCTGTAATTTCATTCAACCCACAAAATCTGTCTTTAATAAAAGAACATCCAAAGGGATAACCATTAATGCCTTTGTTAACTGTAGTTCCACCAATGTTATTTACATTATAACTTGTGACTGTGGACTACAGTACATTGGCAAAACATATCAACAATTACGCAGACGAATCTTACAGCACATCAACTCAATTACAAATTTACGTATTGAAACCCCAATTTCGAAACATGTAAGAACCAATCACGCTTCTAAACCTGGAGTTTTAAAGTTTCAGGTGATACAAAAACTTTCTTTGAATCACCGGAAAGGTGATATCAATATAGCTTTACTAAAGGCAGAATCCCGCTGGATCTATTCCTTTCAGACTTTGTATCCTAAAGGACTCAACGAAGAGTTCAATTTTACCCCGTTTATTCATTCCTAAAAGAAGAGGAACTTACTTCTGGTCTAAGACTATCCACTTTGTGGTGGTACATAGAGGTGGTTAGAATTGGAAACCAACCATCATCATTTTTTGGTTTATATTATAATAGCATTGTGACTATTTCATTTTCTTTTCTTTTCCCTCAGGTTACTCCTAGAATTATCACCAATATGGCAGTTCAGCGTATAGAGTTCAGAATTAAACTTCTTCAACTTCAATTATTGACCTCTATGATTCCCTATGTCTCTAATGATTATCACTCCCTAAGAGAAGGGAGAACCTAAGAAACTCATTAATTTATTTACACATACGTATTCTTCACCTTTAAAATAGTTCTTTTGTGTCCCATTTGAGTTTAAGATTGTTGATACAACTTAATTATCACAATAGATATGCCTATTTGTACCCGGCTAGAAAGGGTTAAATTTTCGTTGTGGTTTGTCCCTCCCCCCTCAGCAACGGCTGATGGAAGTACCAGCCAATTGCAGCTGAGGGCGGGATATTTAAACCACTACTTTTTCCTGACCCGGTTCCCCTGGACGAGCCGTGTTACGGCGAAACGCGCGTCGGGACCTTTTCATTATAGCGAGCTGTGGAGATAGACAAGGGACAGATACTATGTCTTTAGATAGAAATCACTCCAGAAAAAGCTCTAGCTTAATTTTAATTTGAGGCTTTTAGTTTGCAACCGAGAGGTACTCCAGCCGCAGGGACATTCAGCTACTGGCAATTTTTCGTCTTAAGCTTATCTGATTGAGGGTTAAATACATCAGACCCTCTCACCATTACAGCATTTAGATTAGAAATCAGAAACGAATTTCAGTTGACAGCTGAGAGAGGTCCTTTAGCGACTGGGACGGGGTTGTTGCAACAGTGAGGAGCTTTTCTCATTCTATTATCTCCGGGGTGGTCTTTCTATTTAGAACGGAGGTTTCCTACTATAGGTTTGCAATCTAACAAATTGTGGAAACTATTTTCTACTATTTAGTTTTCTTTTTTTCCTCTATTAAATCCACTTTTGTTGCTACTATACTAAAGGCAATTCAGTCTGTATACCACTTAACCAACGGTCTGCTTACTATAGCCTTATATTGTTATAATGATTTTTGACACTTCTTTTAATGTTTTCTATTAAAAGGTATATTTTAATTTAATTTCCTCATGGGTTGCCTTTAAGGTACCAGTTCCAGATAGGGGGTTGAGAATGAGATATTCTCTGTGGTATTCCTTCTCCCCCTTTCTGGTTAACTAGTACTATCTTCAGTTATTTCTATTTTCCTTAGGGGTTACCCCCCAACATATTTTTGGCAACCTGACAATCTCTCTACTCAACTTTTCGTTTTTTTCTATTGATATAATTATAATCATATATTTTTTAAATATGTGGGTAACAGCTTCTCCTTTCAAGGAAAAAATATGACTGCTATTCTAGGGTTGAGAAGAAATTTTCTTCTAGTTTGTTGTAAAATTGGAAAGTACTTTGTACTGTTTTGTTTTTTTTTTGCCTTCTTTTGGATCACAGCAAAAGCAGATGTGAGAAAGGCTGAACTGGACACAGGTCTTTTTCCAGCCTATATAACTGTAACTATGCAACTATATATGTAACATATCAGAGAATGTGTATGTGCCTAAATTAAAAAGTATGTATATACTGAGAAATTGTGAAAACAAAAGTAACACCTAACTTTTTAAGCTGTCTTTTTTATTGTCTGTCAGGGAGATATGGTTTAATTTAAAAATAACAGTGCTAGACATGCTCTGTCTGACATATTTTTCCCTGACCTCTATCAATACTTTACAGAGAGAATTGTGGGAATTCAAAGTGAATTTAAAATTTAAGGCTAAATTCTTAACTCAAAAAAATTCACCAAGACAGCTATGATTCCAGCTCAGCTATTTTGGACTTGTATTTAAAATTCACTTTGAGTTCCCAACATCTTTATTTTAGTGAATACCTCGCAGAATGTCTTAGATTGAGAGAGAGCTCTTCTTACTAACCCTTTCTTGAATGTCATAGTAATCCTTATTGTTTCTAATTGTTTCTGGTACTTCTGACTAAAATTGCCTTTGTAAACATTCTCCAGGATGATGGGCCAATCCAGTGCTCCTCATAGAGGAGCATTGGGGAAAAAAAGCACTGTGATGCACCTACAATTCCTCCACAGAGAATCATTGTACTCAACAATTCTCTATGACCAACCGTGACATCACGTCACAGTATGTAACAGTATGAGAACCAGGAAGTAAGAGTCCCAGTTTTCGTACCCAGAGAGTCTATTGGCATGACTTAAAACCATGCTTCCAACCCTTCTAATTGGTATAATATTGGGTTTTGGGGATAGGATGGGGGGCAGGACTCGAGATGCTATAATAACTTTAATTAGATGAAGTTGTTTAAGTGGCTACAATGTCCCTTTAACATAATATTCACCTCTGTTAAAATCACATGGCTTGCAGTAAGCTTTTGTATATAACTATTATTATTAATTATCTGTTAATAATAATAAATAACTCTAAGCTTAATGCAACAGTGTTTAGATCATGCCTCTGCAGTCTCACAGCTCAGTTCTCTGCATTTTCAGAGTTAAATCATCTACACGTTTATTCATTAAAGTGAGAATTCAAACTGAATTCCAAATAAATTTCGGTTTTAGGGCCAAAGTAGCTGAAATGGAAGCATAATTGACTTAGAGAAATTTTCCAATATGACCCTGTTAATTTATGTACTCCTAGCTATACCTCACACAGCCTCCATGAAGAAAAATAGTTTCTTTGTTTTTTTACAGCATACTGTGTTTCCTTTCAAAGTTATTTTTTCCTGTTCTGTTAATGGTACTTTAACTACACAGAGGTGGCTGGTACAGGCTCGAGCAGTCAATTAACCAAGCAGGAGAAGACAGCACACTGTACAAGAAAGCTAAAATAATTTAGACTATTGTTTTTTTTTTGTTGTTTTTTTTTTTTAAAGGATGTGTGTATGGAGGCTGTGTGAGTCTTCACCAGTAGAGGTATGGCTAGGACTGCATAAACAAATGTATTTAACTCCTGAATGGTAGAGAATTGAGCAGCTGGGCATGAGCTAAACACAAAAAACACTTAATTAGCTAAAGTTGCTTTATAGCCATAATTGTTCTTCAAAATATTGACCTTACCTGACGTGGTGACACTATCATATCCTTTTCACAAGTTATATTTTTGCACACAATATTTTTTAGAGCTTGAGCTGCAGCCGTTACAGCCAGAGCTGTGGTGTATGCTAAATTGCAATCAAAATTCTTCGATAAATAGTCATCATTGGCAGTAGATACATTGTCCAATCTGCATGCTAAAGGAGATTTCTGCAGCACAGAATCATTGTATCCACAGTTTGTTGAAGATGAATTAATGCATTCAATATATTTTTTGTACTGGTCAGAACATCCAAATCGTAATTCCTTATACTCTTTAAGAAAGTTATTTATTGTTCCATATTCTGGTGGCTGTAGTTTTTCCAAATATTCATTAAATCCTGGAATGGCACCGACCTTTATACTGAATCCTAAAATTGTACCAACTTTCTCAATGTTTTTAATATTTGAAATTTCTTTTGAATAAATCCTGCTGTCACCTGCAATCCAGGTCCTGTTTATATTCCTACTGATAGCTTTTTCAAAAAGTTTTTTGACAATCGGTACTTTTGCAAAAACAACCACTACATTTGCAGTAGAACTGTTAATTGTATCAATTATATCATTAAGTTTTTCCTCCAGTGAAGGATCATCAACATACAAAGGCAAGGATTTAGAAAAATTCACACATATCCTTTGCTGTTCAAGAAAAGTATTCAGGAAATGTGACGCAGACTCCCCATGGACACTATTACTTGAAATTACTCCAATCCAGTTCCAATCCAATGCTTTGATCAGTTTAGCAATTGCTTCCATCTTATGTATATCACTAGGAACAGTCCGCAAAAAAGTTGAAAATTTTACCATGTCACTAAGTAGATCCTCACTTGATGCATGACTTATCTTAAAAAAAAAAAAAGTGCAGAAAAATAAATATGCATTATTTTATGAAGGATGGATAGTATACATTACAATTTATGTATTTTGGGGGTTTATTCATTAAATTATTATTTAAATTAATACAGCATTGATGCATAAATCCAAGCATAGTGGAATATTAACTAAATTAATGGGATAATCCTATTGCAGTTCTACTGTCTAATTTACTATCCAAATGTTCATTTCAAAAGAAAATGTTAAAACAATCCTAGGAACAAGAAACACAAGGAAACCACAACAGAGCACTGAACAAATGCAAAATCCAAGTATTTATAGATTTGGGGAGTTGACTTGGTAGCCATACCCCAAAAACATAAGTGGGCATCGACAATTATACAATTCTGTGTTGATGATGTCATGACATCTGCACGCAGTCGGTGTCAAAAAAGGGGTGGAGTCACAGTGTACAGATTAAGAAAAATAAATACAACAAACAAAGAGAAAGATGCTACTAGTTCTCAGTGCATAAACAGCCCTGAGAACAGCTGCATCACCTGGAAATATGTATAGCTGTGTAGTAGTTGTAACAAACTGGCTTAAAACATATATAATAAAGTCTAATGGAGACCAAATGTAAAAGATAGTAAATAAACAAAAAGTATATACAAGTGGAACTAATGCTAATATGCCAACCAGTTTAGTGTATGCTTAGTATCCTTTAAGTATGAAGGAAGTTCAAACACCAGTTTCCTCAGGATCTGGTCTACATACAAACTAGCATTTTGAGTCAGATTGCCTCTGCCAGAAACAATGGGCCTTCCATTAAGTATTGGTTGCTGTTTGTGTACTTTTGGAAGAGCATAAAATGTGGCAGTTATGGGGTTTTTTACGAATATTAAATTATATTCCTCCTTTGAGATCAAAAATAGAGACAACGCTGTGACTAGAATGATTTTAATTCCGCTAAATATTTCTTAGTAGGATCACCACTAAGTACTTCATATGTGTCACTGTCTTCAATTAGTCTGTGCACCATCTAAATATAATCTGATTTGTTTAAGATGACAGTGTTACCCTCTTTATCAGATGGTTTAAATATCACCTCGTCCAGTTCTTTAAGATGTTTAAGGGAGCTGTTTTCTTGTGGGGAAATGTTGCTATTGGGCTGAACCAAAAGATCTCTATGGTTAATTTTGTCAATTTCATTGCATGTTAACTACACAAATAGGTCTATATACTTAAACTCAACTAAATGTGGGGTGAACATGCTCTTTTTCTTCAAATCTGTAAATGGTGGTTGCAATTTTGTAGAGCTATCGCTGCAAATGAGTAGATCCACTAGGGTATCTAGTGCGCCAATATCTGAGGCTTGTAGACCTAAACTCTTTGCTCTTTTTTCATCGCGAATGCGATGAAATTTGTGCAGTGCTAATTTTCTTGCGAATAGATGTATGTCCTTTGTCCAGTTAAATTTATCAAAGTTAGAAACTGGAACAAAGGACATACCACGTTGTAGGAGTTGTAATTCCATTTTAGTGGGAGCGTATAAAGATAGATTAATAATTTGATTAGAGTCAGGGGCCTTATCTAGTATCTTTTCCTTCTGAACTGTTGAGGGGGTAGCCTCTTCCGTGTCCGTGGAACTAGGGTTCTATCTCAAATATAAGCGCAGTACCTACCCTACTGATAAAACACAGGAATAGGTAGAGACTACCCAGAGACATCCTTGTATTAGGGTATTTTAATTGTGTTTGACCCACCCCTATTTAGCATTTCTTTAAATAAAGCTGTAATATAGGCTTGGGTGCATACAACTATCAATGAATTTTATATGATATCCCGATTTGACCTATTGCTCTGGTTGGCATATTAGCATTGGTTCCACTTGTAAATACTTTTTGTTTATTTACTATCTTTTACATTTGGTCTCCATTAGACTTTATTATATATGTTTTAAGCCAGTTTATTACAACTACTACACAGCTATGCATATTTCCAGGTGATGCCACTGTTCTCAGGGCTGTTTATGCACTGAGAACTAGTAGCATCTTTCTCTTTGTTTGTTGTACTTGTTTTACACTGGGGTTAAGCCCCTTCGAGACCCCTGGAGTCTCTTTGCGGTGCATAAGACCTTGGGTTGGACCCGACACTATCCCTTCTTTTCTGGGGTAGACTGTACGGGTATATAACCATGATCTTGTAATTTCTCTGTTTTTTTACAGATTAAGAAAAGATAGCAGAGGAGCCAAAGGGTTAAAAAAAGGGTTTGGAGTCAACTTGGGGGAGGGGGATTGGAGCACCATGTGATCGGCACAGCACAAGGGAATGTATCCTTACACTGGAATTGTATTTGGAGGGTAATATATTAGATTGTAAAACCCTTAACATTATATTTTGGTCTTTGGTTATCTTTATTAGGAAGAATTGCCTCATGTATTGGTCAAGGAAAAGCATTTTAGCCTAATGAACAATATGGCCTTGATTTAGTAGACTTCCAAATGATTCAATGCTGTTAGGCAAACTTCCCAATGTATTTATCTACAGAAGCCCTCAATTAACCCCTTAAGGATGGAGGCAATTGTACAAGTTCTGATCAAAAAATAGACTTTAATTTGAGCTACATGCCTGTTCAACCACAATTTATCTTTCATATTAAACACTTATTACATATCATTTTATTCTTAGTAGCCACTTACTCAAACTCACAAACACTGGCAAAAGTTAGCGTTCATATTAATTTTTTTGCATTTTTTATGAAACATTGGAAAGTTTTTTTAATAGTATTGAATCCTTTTGAAAGCTTATTAAATCAAAGCCAAATTTCCTATTTCATGGTGCAAGAGATGGAAAAAGCAGAAAAGAATTAAGATTGCACAGGGTTTAGGCAAGTTACCAACTTCCCCCTCACCTTTTTATGGCAGATATCAAGGGCAATTTTTCCTGTAAGTTCTATACATCAGGTCTCTTGCGGCTGCTTATTATGTTTTAAATTGATCCCTCACTCATTGTTTTTATATAAAGAATATTGAAATGATTTCTATCATACTCCTCTTGAAAGGAATCGGAAAATTAAGAAAAAGTAAGGAAAAGGAAAGAGAAGGAAAGAAAATAATGATCCCTTACTTATTGTTTTATTTATATAAATAATATTTATTTATATAAATAATATTGGAATTTTATATGATATCCCGATTTGACCTATTGCTCTGGTTGGCATATTAGCATTAGTTCCACTTGTATATACTTTTTGTTTATTTACTATCTTTTACATTTGAAAGGAACTGGAAAAGGAAGTGTGGCAAAACCGACCTCACCACGTGTCCTTGGAGGGGGCTGCTTGCCCGCCTCTTGCCTTTGGACTATGGCCCTGCAGGTTAAACTGTTTATTTTCCCTGCAGAAAGGCTTATTTGTGTGATCTGAGTGCCATTCATCTAATAATGTGCAGTCAGATCCAAGCTATCTGGGGATATGTAGAAATGTGTGTTTTATGTACTAAAATGTGTCAGTATGTAATTTTATGTCTTTTACTGTCTTTTTGTCTGCCATGTGGGTAATGGAGTTTGGCTCTGTCTTTGGAGATAATTAGATTCCTTCTCCAATTATCTCCAGGGCAGAAGGGAGGGAGCCAGGATGCATTGTGGGGATGTTTTACTTTTACTGTTTGAGCCAGGGGGAACAAAAGATACTTTTACTAACTTTTGAACCCCTGGTCTGATTCATGCCATTTTTAATATGTTGTTCCCCTGAATGGATTGATTGTGAATATGTATTTTTATGCGAATGTGATGTATATTTTGGGAGTTATGAATGTTGTGTAAAAACTGTATTTTCCCTACCTATGATAATTGTATTTCCCTGTGTGTACAGATTAGTTTACAGGTAGAGGGGAGGGCTATGTGTGGGATGTAACTATTGTGTGATTGGTTAATGTACGTTACTGTGTGTGTCCCTCCCCTTCATGGGAGCACCTAATAAAAAGGGCTGCAAGCTAGCAGCCAGGGAGTTCCTGTTTTAACCCTCAAAGTGAAGTGTCGTCTCATTATTGGGGGAAGGATTTATTGTATGCTGTTCCAGTTTGACTGCTAGGAGAGTAAACCTATTCAACTGTCTACAGCATTCATATGCTTGAGAGGATTCATATGCTTCTCCGGTTCGGTGGTTGTGGTGTCTGCTGCAGTGCTTGGAGTCCTCAGGAAGCACTAGGAGCATCCTTTAACGGAGGTACCCAGTCGGGGTGCCAGACGATCCGTTACATTGGTGGCAAGCGGCGGGATGGCATCCTAGTGCGAGGAGAAGCAGCTCGGAGACACCGGTAACGTGTGGAGTTGTGCAGCGTCCTTATCTTCAGCAACATAATGGAACCAGCAGTGGCTACAGCAAGCATGGCGTATAGCTACTCCGTACTAGAGTTTGGCACGATGGTAGGGTTGCACCTGAAGTTTTACGGACCCACTCCAGAGGAGAAATACGTGCGGTTCGTGTGGGACATGGTGACCCGGAACCTACAACACAGGGCGTTGAGGGAAGGCCAGTGGGCACGTTGGGAGAAACCCCAGCCACAGGTAGAGTGGGACGAGGAAGAAACCGAGGTGGCCGGTGGAGATGGGACCGAGGTCTCTCTACCGGCCCTACAGGGATGCTGGGCACCCGGCCCAGATCCCCAGCGGCAGTATGTTTTACAGGGAGGGGAGACAGTCGGTCTCACTCCCCAGCGGCAGAATGTGTTATTGGAGGAAGAGACAACCGGTCTCCCTCCCCAACAGCAACCAGAGGTACCCGAGGTAGAGGGGACCTCATAGACTGGTCCTGGGAGGACCCCCTGCAGGCAGGTGGAGATGGGACCGAGATCTCTCCACCGGCCCTACAGGGATGCTGGGCAACCGGCCCAGATCCCCAACTAGAGCTGGAGTTACAGAAAGTGGAGAGCATCGACCTC